TAACTGGTGATAGCTTGGCAGGTGACTAAAATGAAATTTATATAACTGCACGTCGCAGACGTTGGTCAATATGAAAGATGTGTCGGTTTTTAAAAACGAGACGATGCTTAACAAGAGAAATAAAAGACGATACTACGGATAAATATGGGCCTCGATGAAGAATTAAAGAATGTCAAAAGATGATTAGGATGCGGAAGGTAATCCTGCAATGAAGAAGATGTCGAGCGTGCCGAGTTGGTTCGGATAAAAAGAGACGATCAGACTTGTAGTGGAATCAAGAATCGAATTATGATGTTGAAAGTTAAAGTTAAGTTAAGTTAAATTAAGGAGATGGATGTATAATCTGTATCCTTCCACGGAGGATAAATGTGAAGTGAAATGCTAGAGAAGAAGATATCTACTGTTTTGAATCAAATCCGGGATCAATGATAAGTTGAATTCGCGATAAATTATTGAACATGTGATGCACGATGCTATTACTGGGTGATGTGTCACAAGTACAAAAAGAAGCATGACTATGGTGTATTGATAAGATAGCCGATGATTGCTAATGAAAACTTTAGATGTTCAGGAAGTCACTATTGAATTGAAATAGCAACTTAGTACAAGTTATGCTATAGTGAATGAAGAGAAACAAGACTGAGGTATCCGGGAGTTTGTGCAAAGGTGAAGCTCGAGCCTTATCTAAAGTAGAGACGGCGTGAAGTTGGCAATGAGAAACCAGAGCATAGCGAATGATTAAACCCTCTTGATATTAAGGTCAGGTTCTAATTTTAGTGTGGAAAGAAGTGGTTTCCGAAGATGAAATTGTCCTAGCAAGGAATAAACCTTCAGGAGATGATGATGTTAGACATTGAAAAAACGGATTCACGTAAGAAGAGTTGTTTTAAATTATGAATGATACTTTGGAAGAGAAATTATCATTCAAAAGGGAGGTATGAAGTAAGAGGATGATGCCTCCTCCAAAGATAGTGTTGCATTGATGAAATGTAATATTATAACTGTTGGTAAGGTGCTGAGAGCAGAAGATGAAAGTAAGCTATCGGCATTTATTGTTGAAAGTAAGTTGTGATGGTTAAGCATTGAAAACAAGCTGTCGCATGTATGAAGTTCCCAAAGATGATGTTCCAAAGATGATGTTCCAAAGATGATGTTCCAAGTATGATAGTCTAAGTCTGATAGGAAAGATAAAGACAAAGAGAAAGTTGAAGAAATGAAACCTAAGTCCGAGAAGAGAGTCCAGAAGGGTGATTCTAAGTAAAAAAAAAAAAAAAAAAAAAAAAAAAAAAAAAAAAAATATATGAATTATGCGTGTGATTGCGATTTAGGAGATTAGATCGTGCATGTTATTAGAGAAACGCACCAGAGACGATAATGGTTGCAAAAGTTATGGTTCTGCCTCCGGGAAGGAGAGACCACAAAGTATTATGAAGAGTTAAATGTTTACAAAATGTTATAAATCGACCGGTTAGGTCACCACGAAGAAGTTACTTAGAAGAGGTGCCCAAAGCGAAGGGTTACCGTCCATCAATGTTAGTTAGAGGTGCAGATAACGAGCTGTACAAAATGTTTTAGTACGTCATGCAATGTCGTGTTGGCGTCAAGTCTAGGAGACACGAGTAGGTGTCATTATTGTTATTATCATTATTATTATTATTATTAGAGAGTTTCATGTTCCACGACATGGAAGTGCTTGGTCCTGGTCCAAAAGATTTAATTATAACAACTTTGGTCTGTCCTGTTGTAATGGTGAATGTTTATTCACGGATGGTGGGAGATGTAACCACTGTCCACCCTGTGCATTGTGTTTGGTGTGTAATTCAAAAGAGCACTTTTTGGAACAGTGCATGAGTCGAGAGAATCTTCGATTCCGGGAGTTCGGAATTCCCACACTGTTAGTTTTTTACATTGTTTGTTTTAGGGGATCGGATAATTGCCCCACCAGTTTAAAGAGTAAGTCGGGAGAGAGTTCCGCAGCAACAATAGAGTAAGTCGGGAGAGAGTCCCGCAGCAGTAATAGAGTAAGTCGGGAGAGAGTCCTGCAGCATCAATAGAGTAAGTCGGGAGAGAGACCCGCAGAGTAGGGTAATGTAAGTCGGGAAAGAGACCCGCGGTATCAAGTAACATTTCAGTTCTGATAAGTCGTGCTGCGGCTTATCACCATGCCACTATCGTGGCGCACCCACATATCACAGTTGACAGAGACAAGATTGGAAGTTTTACACAACAACAAGGAGACTAGGACAGAGCATATTAGAATCGTTAGAGAGTTATTAGTTATTAGTTATTATTTGTGTGGTATTGTTACTATCGTTACGATCCATTAGCGTACCACAAGTTAAGAGAAAATGCAGGTTGCTGCTAGAGAAAAGGCAAAATGTTTTTAACGAAGAGAGTTTATAAACGGAGTTTTAATTAAATGAAAGTACAAAACAACGTTTTGATGAAAGAAAGAGTTTGATTTTTAGAGACTTTGCAGATTGTATTCATGCAAGGTTATTGAGAACATAGAAACAGGACAAAGAGAAGAGAATATGGACATCCAGTAAGGATTGAATTAGAAGCGAAGTAATGGACATCAGGAACGGGACGAAGAATGAACGAAGGTGTACGGAAACCTAAGAGTTAGTTGTGAAGCGTTGGTAGAATTTAGCAGTAGGGTTGTTAGACCTAACGAAGAAGTGATTGGAGCATTCAAACATTAATCCAAGGATGGAGATCATGAGTTTGGCAAGTTGAACAAGGTATTGTGTGTTATTGTGGTAATGCCATTAGAATCGTTGATGGTTATCCACATAGCCAATTGAGAAAAGTATTACATTAGCCCAAGACTGGGCGAGTTGTATAACAGTGGAAGTGGTGCTAACTTTAGATCATGTTGACAATCCCAGAAGAATTAAACGGTGAGTGTCATTGGAGGTTGCCCAAGTAGGAACTGCGATGGATAAGAAGCAGGTTGAGTGTTTGTCACCCCCAAGTTTGGAAGAATAGTGGAGCTAGCACGGAATGGTGCTGCTTTGAGTTCAGTTGGTGGTTTTTATCCATTATGGGTAACCATTTAGGGGGAGGAGAGAGTTGTTGATGACAAACTGTTGAGCATACTAGAAGTAAAGGTGTGCTCAATGAGGATATTAAATGAAGAAGTCATAGAAAGTGAAGTTACATACCAATGATTGTGATATCATGTTACGTCGGTAGATTGATGATGATAGAAATAATTGCAGCATGAAGGTTTGAATAGTGGGAGAATACTCATGACTATTACCTGAGAGAAATAAATAGCGACACGTTAGGTTGATTACTCGGAAGTGCGGGTTTGGCTTCAGCACCCGAGAATCACAAAGGTGAAGAAACATTATTGCCAACTAAGGCTCGTTGGGAGAATGCTTTGGTAAGATAAGCGGTGTCCCCAGTTGTACCTTTAGTTTGGCTGGTGATATAGTGGTGAATCTACTGAGAACTCCGATCAAGATTTGACGGGAGAATGCTTTGATAAGATAAGCGGTGTCCCCGATTCGACTTTTGGTTTGGTTGATAACATAGTGGGGAATCTACTAATAGAATACAGATTATCGGTTAAAAGCAAGTGTGGTTTGAAAAGACCCACGTTGATGGACAGTCGATGAACGAAATGAATTACGTGATCCAGACAATAAGAGATGAAAAATAATAGTGGATAAAGAACGTGTGGCAATATGCCACCATTGAAGAACATGTTTGCATAAATACTATGGCAGTGATAGAAGAAGGTTGAAGAAGAAAATAAGAAAATATTCCTCGAGATTATTGATTAGAGTGTTGATTGGTTAGGAGTTACTTAAGATTGCAAGCAATACTGTGTTAGCTGATTTCGTTATACCCAAAAGTTGGAAGAAATTATAAGAGGTTGATTATCTCGTGAGAAGTTTTAATGAAGTATTAATATGGAGTGGTTACAACGAGTTGATGTTGTTACCTTACAGAATTGGCAGTTGCTAAGAAGGCTGCGCTAGTGATATTTAAAAGGAGAATTATATGTGTTAGAAAAATAGCTTGTTTGCCAGGATTGGAAAAAACTATTCTTATATGGGTTTTGTCTCACCGCCCTATGGCGTCAAGATAGGGGGAGGAGAGTGTAAGAGTTGGTAGCTGATGCCTGCAGGATGGGTCGTGCCTTCGCATGATTCCCATCCGGGCATCGCACCATCTCTTTTGAAAAAGGTTTCCACAGAAAAAAATATTGTATAGTTGTATATCTTGCTCTTTAGACTTATTTACCAGGTAGTCTCCTAGTCAATGAATAGATTAATATCGTATCCATAATAGGAGACGACCCCCTCTTAGGGGCCGAATCCTTACAGATTTACAACAATTAGCCAACTTGGCCGAGTTGCAAGAATGGTTTAGTGGTAAAATCCAACGTTGCCATCGTTGGGCCCCGGGTTCGATTCCCGGTTCTTGCATTTTTGCTACCATTAATTTTACAACATTGCAAAAATTTTTTTATCACTCTTAGTGTTAATTCTTTGTTTTCTTGTATGTGTGGTTTTAAAAAAGATCATTATCACGTAAAGAATACAATATTACATTACCAAGTTTGAATTGCACCGGACCACACGAAGTTCAATTATTATACAATATTAATGGCCAATTAGATCATTGTTACTGAACCGCATAGCCTGATGTCAATCTACAGCTTTTCGAGTATAGAAAGCAAAAAAATTACCTCGGTTATAGGAAATACGGCTATAGAGGAGCTAATCTTGAATAATAAAGTCACATAGTTAAAGATTCACACACCTTGCTCTGAAGATCTTGATAGCCCATAAGCCCTCCCTCTTTTGTTAATTGATATTCCATTCTTTATTCATCCTTGTTGAACTACTAGATACAATAAAAAATTATAAAAAAATAATGCTCCCTTACGGGGAATCGAACCCCGGTCTGCTCGGAACTTTTAAACTCTTACGAATCTGAAAGCGAACCGTGATAGCCACTACACTATAAAGGAAAGCAGGAAACTCCCTTACGGGGAATCGAACCCCGGTCTGCTCGGAACTTTTTAATTCTTGAAGAACTTGAAAGCGAACCGTGATAGCCACTACACTATAAAGGAAATTTCTTGAAATGGAAACACCCTAGTTGAACCATACCCACAACGTATTTTACGGCGTGGCAGTTTTTTTCTACTTGTGCACGACACCTCGAAGAAAAAAATAGCAAAACAGAATAGATAAGGGGCGGAAAAACAAAATGATAATAATGTTGACAAGAAAACTTCACAATCACAACGATATCTCCACATCGTGATGAATCTCGAATACCCAAAACTAGCATGTGGTATCGGAGCCCTACTACACCCTATGGCACCAAATAATGATAATGCCTTCAACCCGTGTTTTCTAATGCACACTTTGTCCCTTTTTTCAGTCATCAACATCGTGTACGGCACGATAACATTATACAAAACTACTACAAAGCTGCCTCGATATGGGAACTTTTCACCCAAAAATACCGGATTAACTCATTATATCCGGTTAAATGCAGTGGCGTTGCATATTATTTTACTATTATATCTAAACTCATTCATATCTATTCATGAAAGATTTGCAGACCCAAAGATTGTTGGATTTGGATTGCTCGCCGTTCTATTGGTGTTTATTATATTCCCGTTGCACTTTATTGAAACAGTATATTCACCTATTCCGTTGGACATTTTGTTGGTGTTTTGGCCAGCACTTGGTATTCTTGAAATTGCATTATACTTTCAAGACAATTTTACAGATTGGGTCATAATACAGCTGACTGACCCATCCATAAAAATTGTTGAAATATTCCTTGTTTTAAATTCGATTGCTATCTTTGTACTTGAGTACTCGCATTACAAGCCAAGCCATGAGTTAATTTTACAATATAAAAGAAATGATCAACTGGATCAGTTACAGGAGCCAAATATTATTCAACAAATCACTTTTACATGGATGAATGAGTTGATCGAAAATTCATATAAAAACCAAACAGTTACCAACGCTGAGTTGCCACATACACCGCCAGAAATATCAACTGTTTATGCCACCACCAGACTTAAGAAATTTTGGCATGGCGGAGAGTTGACTACTTCTTTGTTGAAAGCCTTTGGTTGGGCATTGTTGGTTTCCTTTTTCTACGAGTTTGGTGGTCGACTACTCAACTTTGTTCAGCCACAATTGCTTAGACTATTGATCTTATACTTTAACATAGATAATCCACCCTTGTTGAAAGGTGTCTTGATTTCCCTTGGAATGTTTACAAATACCTTGCTCCAAACATCATTGAACAATAGATATATGTTGAAGAATTTGGAAGTGGGATTGAATTGTCGTTCTTCATTGACTTCATTGGTGTACCAAAAGGCAATCAAGTTGTCGAGCGAGTCCAGATTGAAAACGAGCTCTGGAGATATCATTAATTTGCTTTCTGTTGATGTCAACAGGGTACAAAATGTATTGATGAATCTAAGCACACTTGTTCTTGCCCCAACAGACATTATTTTATGTGTCTTATCACTTTATCCTTTATTACATGGTGCAACATTTGCTGGTGTTGGAATAATGATTGTTTTGATACCAGTGAACGCTATTATTGTAAAATATTACAGGAGACTCAGCAAAACGCAAATGAAATTAAAAGATAATAGATCAAGAGTGATTAACGAGATTTTGTCATCAATTAAAAGTATTAAATTGTTTGCGTGGGAGAAACCTATGCTTGCAAAGCTTTCTGAGGCCAGAAATGACAAGGAATTGGCGAATTTGAAAAGAATCAGGCTTGTTGGTCAAGGTGTCATGTTTATCTGGAATATTATACCATTTTTGGTCTCGTTCACATCTTTTGCTACATTTGCATTGACCCAGAAAAAGCCATTAACATCAGACCTTGTTTTCCCTGCTTTGGCATTGTTGAATTTATTATCGGGCCCACTAATGGAACTTCCAGCAGTTATCACAGCTATGATCGAAGCGAATGTTGCTATAAATAGAGTTAGGACGTTTCTCTTGAGTGAAGAGATTGACGAATCGTTAATTAGGAGATTGCCAGACGCTAAGCAAGATGATGATGGCATGGCTGTCAAAGTTCAGAATGCCACCTTTCACTGGACGAAGAACAGGTTTACCGATCTTGAACAAGATGCAGAAGAGCAACAGTTGCACACTTTAAGAAATATAAACTTTAGAGTTTCAAAAGGTGATTTGAGTTGTGTTGTTGGAAAAGTTGGAAGCGGGAAAACATCTTTGTTGTATGCATTGCTTGGTCAGTTAATAATGGTTCAAGGAAATGAAGATACACCACCTACTGTTGATATTCGTGGATCTGTGGCATATTGTGCACAACAACCTTGGATTATGAATGCATCTGTCAAGGAAAACATTCTTTTTGGATGTAAATGGGACAAAGATTTTTATGAAAAGACCATAGATGCCTGCCAATTATTACCAGATTTAGCGATATTACCCGATGGTGATGAAACTCAAGTGGGAGAGAAAGGTGTTTCTTTATCTGGTGGTCAGAAAGCAAGATTGGCATTGGCCCGAGCAGTGTATGCACGTGCTGATGTGTATTTACTAGACGATATTTTGTCTGCGGTTGATTCCAATGTTGGTAAAAAAATTATCCAGAAAGTTTTGAGCAAACAAGGGCTACTTGGCTCGAAAACAATTGTCTTGTCTACAAACTCGATATCTGTTTTGAAATATTCCAACAACATCACCCTTATCGAAGATGGAGACGTGATTGAAACAACGACTTACAAAGACATAGACCAATCCAGCCACCCGAAGTTATATGAGTTGATTAGTCACTTTAGCAAAGATGAAGAAGAAGAAATTAATGAAAATATTGCAAATGACACGGCAGCACTGCTGTTTGTCACTCGTAAAGCAAGTATGGCTAGTTTGCACTGGGATCCATTGCAAAGATTATTACCAAATTTGCGCAGTGGTCAAACGGAAGAAGTTAGTAAAAAGGGTAAAGTTAAGTGGTCTGTCTATTTGGCCTATATCAAAGCTTGTTCTATTCCTGGTGGTGTGTTGTGGTTTGTTTTGTTGATTATTGCCACAGCGTTATCGGTTGGTGCCAACTACTGGCTTAAATACTGGACGGATCAAAACTCCAAAGGGGATGGAAACCAAAATGTATGGAACTTTTTGTTTGTTTATGCAGCATTGGGACTAGGTGCCGCATTCGTTACTATTGCTCGTAGTTCTGTGATGCTTCTTTGGTTGGGTATCAATGCTTCCAAGAAAATCCATGATAACATGGCGAAGCGAGTACTCAGTGCACCAATGCTGTTTTTTGAAAGAACACCAATTGGTAGAATAATGAATAGGTTCACAAATGATGTTAATCAAGTCGACGATGGTATACCACTGGTTTTCCAGAGATTCATCAACCAATTGGTCGGAACTATTTTCACCGTTGGTGTTGTCACCCTTGCCATTCCTACTTATTTGATTATTATTTGTTTTCTTTCTTTATTGTACGTGTATTATGAAATTTACTATGTGGCAATTTCAAGAGAATTGAAGAGATTGGTTTCGATATCTCGTAGTCCTATCTACGGTCATTTGGGTGAAAGTTTGAGTGGAATTGACACTATTCGAGCTTACAATCAAAAGGAAAGGTTTGATTTTATCATGAATGCAAATGTCGATTTCAATTTAAAGTCGGTATACATGTTGACATCTATCAATAGATGGCTCGGTTTCAGGTTACAGGCCATTGGTGGAATCGGAGTGTGTTCCGTTGCTATTTTGTCAATATTAAGTAAAAGAACATCTCACCCGTTATCAGCATCCATGGCAGGTTTTATCATGACATATGCAATGCAGGTGACTTCTTCATTAAGAAGATTAGTAAGAACTTCTGCTCAAGTTGAAACTAGTATCGTGGCCGTTGAAAGATGTTTGGAATACACAGAACTTCCAGTTGAAGAGGAAGACGAAGGGTCACTTAAGCTTGTTAAACCACCTCCACACTGGCCAAACAAAGGTACTCTTAATTTCCACAACTACTCAACTCGTTATCGTGCAAATCTTGATTTGATATTAAGGAATATTTCCTTCTCCATCAAACCAAGCGAGAAGATAGGAATAGTTGGCAGAACTGGTGCTGGTAAAAGCTCATTAGCGTTAGCAATTTTCCGTATTATTGAAGCTGTTGACGGGAATATTGAAATCGATGGGTTGGATACAAGCCAATTGTATTTGTATGATCTCAGACAACGATTAAGTATTATCCCACAAGACTCACAGCTTTTAGAAGGCACAATTCGTCAAAATTTGGACCCGTTCAACTATTACACCGACGAAGAAATTTGGCGAGCATTGGAATTGGCACATTTGAAAGAGCATATTCAAAAATTACCGAGAGAAGAGGGCTCAGAGGAAAACAAGTTGCTTAACAAGGTTTACGAAGGCGGGTCTAATTTCTCGTCTGGTCAACGTCAATTAATGTCGTTGGCAAGAGTGTTGTTGAAGATGAATGACTCGAAAATATTAGTGTTGGACGAAGCAACTGCAGCAGTTGACGTGCAAACTGATAAGATCATCCAAGAAACTATTAGAACACAATTTAAAGACAAGACAATAATCACTATTGCGCATAGATTGGAGACAGTTATGGACAGTGACAAGATTGTGAGTTTGGATAAAGGGGAATTGAAAGAATTCGATGCACCACAAAAATTGCTAGACAAAAAGGACGGTATATTCTATAGTCTATGTAAACAGGGAGGTTACATTTAGGCAACTTCCGACTTTAATAAATGATAAAGTATTGTCTGTGTAATCAAATAGGGAAGATCATTGGACTGGATTGATTCATATGAGTAGAACACATATGCTGTTAGACCGTCGGGGGAAACCGCAAGCGAATTGTCTCGCGAAAGTACAAGCTCGACAGAATAGTTTGTTCTTTCTTTGGGGATGTCTCCACGTAAATTGTCAAGAAAGTTCACGGCTATTGATCGATTCGTGACATACGGTAGCTCGGCATCTATTTGGATCTGGGTTGCGTCTACCAAGTCAGGGAAGTTGAACTGCTCTGATTGCTTGTCAAATCCTATTGAAATGTCAACCGTTTGTAGCATTCTGGTAGGTGTAGAAGTCTTCCATAAGACCCAGATCCATGGTCCCGCCATTAATAAGCCGAATATGAGTATAGAGTTTCTTGAGAATACCATTGCTTGTTGTGTGCCAGTGTGTTTGTGATTGGCCTCGAAGTATTTTCGTTTTTTCTTTTTTTTTTTTTTTTTTTTCTTGTCATCGTTTTCATTCATTTAGTCCGTAGTCATCAACCACCACCAATGTCAGCATCAGTGCCATCTGTATCGATAGAAAGAGGACTAGACCCACAGAATCAAGAGGATACATATGTCCATGATGTGTATAACGAAATAGCGAGCCATTTTTCACAGACTAGATACAAGCCGTGGCCGATAGTTGAAAAGTTCTTGATGCTGAGACCCAAATACTCCGTTGGGATAGATGTGGGGTGTGGAAACGGAAAGTACTTGAATGTCAACAAGGATTTGTTCATGATAGGTACCGACAGATCGGATGGGTTGGTCCAATGTGGCCAGCAGATTTCCAACAATAGGTACAATTTGGGGGTTGCCGACGGGTTGGCATTGCCCCACCCAGACAACACATTTGACTTTGCGATATCGATTGCTGTGATTCACCATTTTGCCAATGAAGAAAGACGGATTGAGGCTATTCTGCATATCCTTTCGAAATTAAAAACTGGCGGTGAAGCTTTGATTTATTGTTGGGCATTGGAGCAAGAGAAGTCGCGTCGTGGGTACAAAGAAGGGGATGACCAGGACATATTGATTCCTTGGGTGTTGAAGAAACCACAACCACTGAAGAAGAAAAAGGGAAGCAAGACGAAAGATTCGCCAGAGATGGATAAGGTGCCAGAAGAAGAGCCACAAGAGACACCCAATGTCACCAAGTACAGGTATTATCATTTGTACAGGAAAGGAGAGTTGGTGGACAATTGCTTGAAAACAGAAAGGTGCTCGATAGTGGAGGAAGGCTACGAACGAGACAACTGGTGGGTGATAATCAAGAAGAAATAGGGCATCCATAGAAGTGAATAGATGACGATAGTATAATGATAAGCGAAGAGAGAGAAAGAGAGAGCTCTAGAGAGAGAGAGAGAGAAAAAAAAAATGAAGAGCGAACAACAAGTCCAAAACAAACTGACTTCATTCTCTTTATGTTTTCTCCACAGGATCGACACGATAAGTTGGTCCGTGCCACGGACTTGGATGCGTTGAGTTGCCGATATAGCATCAATGAAAAGTCGTACTTGGTTCCGCGTGACGAGTTCATCCCGGACTTGATCCAAAGCTACCAACAACATTTGCAGTATTGTCAGGGGTATACCCAGTTGTCGTCTTCAAGGACATTGAGGACAGTATTCCAGGAAAGAAAGTTCCCATTGATCAACAGAGGATCCTACCTACGCACCACCGCTATTGATAAAGTAGTACGGGAATTTGTCGACGAGTTTTCAGGAAAATGCCAAATTGTGTCGTTGGGAAGCGGATCAGACACCAGAGCATTCACGTTGTTGCAGCAACACCCGGAATTGGTTATCCATGAGATTGATTTTCCAGAGTCCACAAGAATCAAGAAGTTGGCGATTTTGCAGAGCAGTAAGCTCAGAGATATTGTTGGAACGGACGAGAGTGCACCACCTATTGAAAGCAAGTCGTCGTTTGCCGAATACAGTCCAGATTTGTTCACACGACAATACTATCTCCACGGACTAGATTTACGAACACTCGACAACAAAATGCCTGGGTTCAAAGAGGATGTACCCACATTGGTGATCAGCGAGTGTGTGTTGTGCTACTTATCGCCTGAAGAATACGAGAAGACAATCAAGTACTGGACAAGCCATAGTGGCGACAACATCATGGGGTTCTTGATTTACGAGCCAATGTCGTTGAACGACCAGTTTGGCACTACAATGACGCAGAACTTGCTCAACAGGGGACTCAACTTGCAGATGTTCAACAAATACCCCGATCTAGCGGCCAGAAAGCGGTTTCTTGAAGGGGAGTGCGGGTTGCTGAATTCGAGATTGACCGACATGAGTGATGTTGGTGGTTATAAGGAGCATAATTCCCAATGGATCGATGATCAAGAGTTGCATCGTATTAACAAATTGGAGTTTATTGATGAGATTGAAGAGATACGACTACTATTAGACCACTACTGTTTGGTGTACACAGAATACCCAAACAAACACGGCAGGTCATTCAAAGGAGCTAATAAATGGCATTGGATTATGTAGGTACTATAAATATAGACAATTTGGCATCTATTTACATTATCCGATTCATAATCTTGACGGAAAGATAAAAGTGGGGAAGAAGGTCGTGTCCTTGTGACCGAACCGCTATAGCAATTTTTTCTTCTCTCTCTCTTTTTTTTTTTGGCACTTTTTTAGGTTGAAGCGAAATTGTATCGGACACCACTGGATTCTGATTACTCTTTCTTTTTTTTTTTTCCTATTACTATTATCTTCACTTTTCTTTAATTGAATTGTTCTAGAATATTAATATCACAGACATACAGAAATGGCATCAACAGCTCAACACGCATCTAAATTCCAACGTTTTTTAAATTCAGAAACAGGTCCAAGGACTGTTCATTTTTGGGCTCCAGTTTTTAAGTGGGCATTGGTTATTGCCGGTATCAATGATTTGCAACGTCCGGTAGAAAAATTAAGTGGAACCCAACAAATTGCATTATTTGCTACAGGTGCCATATGGACTAGATGGGCAGGATTTGTTATCAAACCAAGAAATATGCTTTTAGCCTCGGTGAATTTCTTTTTGGGTGGTGTTGCCGGTTATCAATTGATCAGAATTGTCAACTATAGAAGAGAAGCAGGCGACTCTCCAATGCAAGTATTTGACTATATCATCAATGGTAAACCAGAGGCCACAAGTAAGGAAGAGCCAACTAAAAACTAAGCAATGTATAGTAGAAATGTGATGCATATATATATATATAAAGTGAATGGGTTATTTATTGTACAATACATATATTTTAATGATCAATCAACATGTCGTCATCGTCATCATCAACTTCTTCTACAGGTTCATTTTCATGACTTTCGACTTGCGATACAACTAGGTCTTCGACATCAGAACCTTTAGCAAGACCGTCATCATCATCATCATCATCATCATCATCAACATTCTCTTCTTCAATTTCAATATTATGTCCATGAATCACTTCCTCTTGTTCCCCTTCTTCCTCTTCTCGTTCAACTTCCTGTATCTCAACTTCTTCTTCATCCAGGGATTCGTCACTCTCCAATTGCTCTTTCTTTAATTTAGTATCATTTTCTTCAGATTTGATCTTTTCAACTTCTGCAATGGCTTCTGGAACACTTTTGTTAATAAAATTATTCAAGTAGCTTAGATTCTTAGTCCAAGATCTATTTTCGTTATCAAGTTTTTGCTTGATTAGGGTCAACAATTCCAATTTCAACCTCTTTTCTAACCTCATACGGTACTCTATATTTATCAACTGGCTAATTCTCTTAAAATCAGGTGTTGGCAACGCAGAAGAACTATCCAAGGAAAATAGATCGCTGAGCTGTACGTGTCTTGGCAACTGGTCTCTTCCAGCTTGAGCAATTTTCAACAAACTTTCATCATTCAAAGTTTCCAACGTTCTTCGCGATATAATAAATTTTGGTAATGCTATCGAACCTGATAATGCTTCGTACGTATACGATTCTTGACCAATCTTGAGATTAATACTAGAAATTTTGCCCAAGGTTTCGTTATATTCAACAGTTTCAGTATCAATTACACGATTTCTGCAATCATTCTCCCAGTCTTTTAATTCCTTTTGAGCTTTATTAATCTTAAATGAATCAAGGATGAAATTCTTTTTAACTTGCTGAAGTTCAGATGAAGATGGTGCGTTCTCTGAACTGTTCACTGATTTAAGTAGTTGTTCATTGATGTCAAGCAATTTCTTGGCAGAATCAAATGTTTCCAAAGTTGAATCTAATAAATTTTGTAAAGATTCAATTCTTTCTAAGGATTCTGCAGTCATGTTCTATGGGTACGTGGTTGAGGTTTCCTTGGTTGTTGTTTCTGATATATTTTTTTTTTGTTGGTCCATATAATTGTTGTTCTGGCGAGAACTTTTTTCTGGTTTGATTTGTTTACTTTTTTTTGATTTCGCTACAACTGCCACAACCACGTTCAACAATGTCAGGTCAAATCAACGTAGAAACAACAGGGATCAATCTTGAGGATTTAAGAATACAATTATTTCAGTCGGCATTGAAATTAAACAATCTAAATTTGTATCACGCTGGCAAATGGTGTGCAGAAGCATTGAATGGTTTGAAGGAAAAGAATCCCATAACCTATCCTATTATCCCTTTAGATCCCGAAGACTTGGTTGACCAAGATTCATTTCTATTAGCTAAGGCGTATTTTAATTGTAATGAGTTTGATAGGGCTGCAAATGTGTTAAAGGATTGCAAAGGTGGCGATGCCAAGTTTCTCCGATTGTACTCAATGCTAATATCCGTAGACAAAAGGGCATCGGAGGAGACAGACGGCTCGATAAACATTGGATTGATAAACGATATAAATGATGACGGAGGTTCAGAAACGAAGGAAGTAGTAATCAACTCATTAAATTCCCAACTTTCAAAAATTATATTAGAATCAGAGAATTTTTTGGCCCACCGGGAAAATGCATTCCTATACTACCTAAATGGAATGATATACAATAAAAAGAAAAAGTATCAGTTGGCCCAGCAAAGTCTAAGTAGATCATTACAATTGTTCCCTTATAATTGGTCTTGCTGGCAGGAACTTATTGCTTCGCTAACATCATTTGAAGAAGCCAATGATTATATCAACAGAACCAAAAACAGCAACTCGTCCTTATCGAATAGCATTATGTTTCAATTTTTTGAAGTTGTGATTTTACAAGAATTCTACCATCAGCTGAATACCCTATTTGATAATCTCAGTAATCTTGTTAGCTTATTTCCAAACTTTGTCTTTCTAAAAATCCAGCAATTTCTCATTTCATATCATAATCTCGACTATTTCCAAGCGGAAGCTACTTTTGATCAAATCTTGCGACAGGATCCGTTGCGATTGGATGATTTAGATACCTTTTCTAACATGTTGTATGTGATGGAAAAAAGATCAAAGTTGTCTTACTTGGCCCAATATGCTTCACAAATAGATAAATTTCGTCCCGAAACGTGCTGCATCTTAGCGAACTACTATTCCATGAAATGTGAGCATGAGAAAGCTATAATGTACTACAAACGTGCATTAACATTGAACAAAAACTGCCTTAGTGCGTGGACATTAATGGGCCACGAATTTGTTGAATTGAAGAATAGCCATGCAGCCATTGAATCGTATCGTCGAGCAGTTGATACCAACCCTAAAGACTTTCGTGCATGGTATGGATTAGGTCAGGCTTATGAAGTTTTGGATATGCATTTATACGCATTGTACTATTATCAGCGTGCCACTAATTTGCAACCATTGGATAAGCGTATGTGGCAAGCCATTGGAAATTGCTATGAAAAGATTGATCAGCTCGAAGAAGCACAAAAATCATTTGCGAAAGCACTTGCAATTGGGAAAGTTGTTCACCTGGCGGGTGACATGAACTACGACAACAATAAGGATCATGAAGAACCTAGTTTCTCTGTTGAACCTCACATTTGTTACCGTTTGGCTATCATTCTGGAAAAATTAGGGAACCACAAGGAGACCTTCAAATATATGAAGTTATGCTTTGAACAGGAATTTGATTGGGGTATAAGTGATGAAACTTCGAAGGCAAGATTATGGCTTGCAAGGGATGCTTTGAATAATTGGAAGTTTGAAGAGGCGTATGAATTGGCTAAAGATTTGAATCATAGTAATGCCCATGATATTGAGGATGCCAGAGCAATAGCCCGTGATGCCAGAAACAGAATGAAAAACCAGCTACATTGATTAGGCAAAAAAAAAAAAAGACTATGTATTAAATTAAGATTATTAAGATTCTAAATATATATGTATGTATGTGTGTAAATATGAAGATGTTTACAGGCTCATGTAGAACGGTTTAATAATTAATGATTTCCTCATTCAATGCAAACAAATCATCTTCATGTTTAAGATTGCCCAAAGCATAATTAATAGCTTTCGGTAAAACTTCAATAAGGCTGGAAACTTCGCTTCTGGTAGTTCCAGCATTGATGTTTACTAACAAATGAGGAGGCAATACAGGCAAGTTTTCATGTTCTAAGATCAATTTGGTTCTAGTTATCAAGATACCAGCATTGTTTAAAATGTAGTCTATGATTTTTTGTAATACAAAGTTCTCTAAGTTCATGTATTCATCAAATCCATTCAAAGTCTTAGATGGCTTCCCTGTGGTAACAAAGGTAGAATTACCATACATCAATGGTAAACCCAACTGCTCTCTGATATTTTCTTTCAAACCAATATGGATTATTGGTGATTGAGGTGACGATACAATTTGGAGCTGCAGAGCTTGAAGTTGTTTTTGTAAACCGTCATAAGCGTACAGGGTCAAATCATGCAATTTGGTCATTAATTTGGACTTACCAGTTGCCGAATCCAAGTTTTCTTGAATTTCCCTAATAGCCTGGGAGGTAACTTTAGCTGAGTATGGAGGCAAAGAAGCACTGAAGACATATGCATTGGACGAGATTCTTTGATGGTGAACCATAGGGTTAACACCAACACAGAAACCACCTGAAGAGGCAAACGAGTTAGCCATGGATCCAATAGTTATAGAAACCTCATCTCTAGAAACACCGTAGTGTTCAGGTAAACCTTTTCCAGTGTCTCCCAAAACACCAATTGATAAAGATTCGTCCAAAAGAAGTCTGTATTTGAACTTGTTCTTCAATTCAACAATTCTTGGCAAATCGGCAATATCTCCACTGTTAGCAAATAAACCTTCGGTGATAATAAATCTTCTTCTTATTGGTTTTTGTTTATCCAACACTGGCTTCAATTGAGACAATATTTGTTCCAAATGATCAATGTCGTTGTGATCATACCATTCAATGTCGGCACGACTAACAATTAAAGCCTTCTGTAATGCGATGTTCACCCCACTATCAACAACACACAAATCACCTCTCTTCAAAAACGCCGGTATAACCGATCCAGCAGTGACAAAATCCTGACCATAGATAATGGCTTGTTCACAATCTAAATAACGAGCCAAATCTTCTTCCAATCTAACATGAACGTCTTGAGTACCGTAGAAATTTGGAGGGCCACAAGCACCAACACCAGCGTAGTTGATTTCAACTCTAGCTGCTTCCTTGACATTTTCATTTTCGTTGAGACTAAGAAAATCTTGCGAAGCAAGATTCAAAACTTCCTTACCATTCAAATTGACATGAACACCATTATGGCCTGTAATCTCAGGAATGGATTTCAACTCCCAATTTTCCAATGGAGTGATATTGCTAATTAAAGGTGACGGCTCCCATTCAGCACATAACTCATCAATTTCTTTTGCAGAAAACTTTACCAATTCAGATTTATTTTCCTTCTTTTTGGAACTTAAAAAGTAGGACAAGGCAAAGAGGACTAAACAAAATTCAAGCAAAGATCTAAATGGGTCGTTCTGGTAAGATGACTTGATGTATCTCAAAACAATACTGCCTCCTGGTACATATTCCAAACAATTTAAAAGATTCACAAACCTATCTTGAAATGTTGAAGAAATCAATCCCCACATAGTAGATAATGGTAATACCGTTGTGCTTTCCAGAGAAAGTGCTGTTGCCGTGGTTGTTGTGGTGGTTGTTATAACTATCGATGACACCATGACCTGAAATAAAATGCCTTCTTGGAAAAAAAAAAATAAAAGAATAAAAATAATGAACTAGTTCTTTCTTTCTTTATTTTATCTTTTGATTTTATAAATAAAAGAAACACTGTACTATTAGATATTTTTATTTCAAAACAAAGGCTGAATCTTGTTCCAATGAGAAAAAGGCTAATCTATCAAATGTTGTGATTTTTCGTGTCTCTCAGTTTTTTTTTTGTTTGGACTTTTTTTTTGGCGTTGAGTTTTAGGAGAGGATGTGTCCATACGCCCAATTATTCTTTTTTTTTTTTCATATGGTTCCACTAACCAAGTCGTGCACTACGGTCATATTTATTCGCTTCACTTCACTGTAATTCTACCCCTATTTTCTTTTTTTTTTTCTCAAAGAAGAACTTTACACAATTACTTCATCTCTTATATTATATTTACCTACGTGAACTATGGAACAAATATTTTCGAAACACCTTCCACATCCCGTCTACAACAAACGCATCCTTCAATTCCTTTGCTTACTAAACTCAACCTGCAACCCTCACAGATTGCAAAGCATTTACATGGCCAAGTAATGATTTCTCTGGGGTTGGTCTGACAAATAACACAGTCCAAGGACCGTTCATTGTCATCCGTGTGTTCGTTAACCGTGCTACTCATTCTCTTTGATACTATAAGTTCGAGCAATTTTTCTGTATCATCAGCGCTTGCCCCAGATTGTGGAATCGAATTTTGCAATTCTCTATATACGGATCTCGTCAATCTTCCTTCTCGCTTATTGTATTGCATATGTTTCTGGAATATGTCCAAATAAGTCGAGTTCGTGGCAGAAAACATTTCATTCAAATCTTCTCCATGAAATAATTCATGTATTGGCAGTGTAACACCTTGGATATATGGATAGCGGCTACCACCCAATATATGGCCACCGCGCTGGGAGTCGATAAAAACTTCTTCTGCATCTGATTCATACTCTGACTCCAGCTCGTCTTCTATCACTACCTGGTAATCCCCAGAGGTATCTACCTCGGATATATCATTAGATGAAAGCAATAATCTTGCGTATGAGTCTGGAATTTCGTCAGCGGTCAAACCATCGAGGTTGACAGTCTCCTTTGCAGTTTGAACCTGTTCTGTCGCATTTACTCTTCGCTTCAAATACTTTCTTAAAAATGGCGGTACCAGTGATTTACGTTTCTCAAATTCTGCATTGGTTTCATCACCAACGTACTCCAGGCTCTTTAGTTCTCGTCTCAAGACCAACCTCTTAAATGCAGTCGGCAAATATTCACAAACAAACGATTTGAAAATCAAACCGTATAACAACTGACATGTATAGTTAATCATTTGCTTCAAGTAAATGAATCGTCTTCGGAAAACACTAACCCGACCATCCTTGTACCCATTATCCAAATCACCAACTTGGTTACCAGAAATCAATCTTTGCGGTGGGTTCTTGATAATATTTCCATACCCAGGTACACTAGACTTATCTGTCGTTGCAGGCGTTGACGAACCAGATAGTTTTAACCTTTCCCAGATGCTTCTCTCGACCCAAGTATCCTTCTCCAATGTGACCAAACTAAGTTCTGTAATGTAACTTGATCTGCCTGCCAGGGTTATAGCCATCACTCCTATATTCAATAAAGCAGTATAGAAGTCATCATTAAGATCTATATTCAAGTTCTTGATAATTGAATTTGGCTCCTCTTCTTCACCGTCTTCATACACAGTTTCATGTAGAAAGAAACTGGCATAATTAAGACCTTGTAGCTTGAACCCGTTAACCATAATGGCCAACAAAAATATTGCCAAGCTCACACAAATAATAAACAATATGAGAACCTGTGGTGTAAAAGTCAAGATCAATATAAATGGAAATTGCAAAAAGTCCCAACTATTGATAAACAAGCTTACAAAGTACCCCAAAAATGTCATGCCCAATACAGTCAGCGGAATCAACCTGTACTTATTGTCATTTATTATAGCCCCAATATGTATATTTAAATGATTGAGGATCAGAAACAACGTCGTAAGCAACACTTGTTCTGTTGGTCTCTTGTAATACTTTGAGCTGCCAAAAAAGAAAGCCCCATTACTGCTGAACTCTTGAAATGCTAACGAATGTTCAAAAATTGTAATTCCACTCTCTGTGTATGGCTTCTTTCCTTGAATAGATGCAATAAAAGTTTCAATAAACGACAGTAAACAAAATGTTAAAAATATTGGCCAATACATATCACTCGTGGGTCCTATCATCACTTGAGCATCAGGAGTTTTCATGTACTTAGTGTCGTTAAAGATTTCCACATCATAACTAAAGAGTGAGTCAGGAATTAGCTTGTACAACCAATTTATAGAAGATGTCGAAGTTAATCCCAAATGGTAATGCAAGTTTAATACAACCAAAATGTTATATAGCTGATATGCAAATAACATTATTACTCCAATTCTAAAGCTGATCATGCTCAAAGTCTTAAAAATTGTGCTAGTGGATTTGCTTAGATACGTCATATTACCTTCTCTACCCCTTCTGAATTGTTGTTGCTGTAAATTGTTTGTGGACGCCATGACCAATGTCCTGTTCAAAACCAAGGCCATTATAAGACAAGTAAGACCATATATAGAACAACAGTACTTGGTTATTGCTCCTAATCGATTCCATGGTGTTGTATTTATTGTGGATGTCTGTTCACTTTGCTCCCAGATAACGTCCATCAACGAAGATACTAACTTCACCAAGGGGAAGTATTCATAATCATACTCCTCGGCATCATCTAACACCGCTGTTTCCATCGAACTGTTGTTCATTATGAAAGTAAGATTCGAACTGGGGTGGTACAGTTGGTGAGTTCAGTTTACCAAACAAAAAAAAAAGGAAAAAAAGAAGAAAAAGGATGTGGTGGTGGTTTTTTGAGCGACGTCATTCAGGATATGCTTATGCTCGATTTAAATCGCAATGTCGTATAGAGCAAAATGTCGCCCGAACTGACGACATTTGTGGTCGTAATGATTGAGACAAGAGGTGGACCGTACCCAGACTTGATGAAAAAAAAAAACATCACATCGAGAAACACAAATACTTTCCAACAAATTAAGCAACCCATAAAGTATTAGAAGTCAATATCAATTGGACAATCAACCATGGGTCGCAAACTACCTCCACCTCCTCCACCTCCTGGTATATCTAATGCTCATAAAAGAAGAAAGGAGAATGAACCACAGAAAAGGCAACCACCTCCACCACCTCCTCCTCCTCCTCCGAGATCACGAAACCCACCACCAGCACCACCAGCACCACCGCCTTCTGGTTCTCAGTCCGATAAGTCAAATCGTCCTCCACCACCACCTCCTCCACCATCCGCTTCTAACGACAGCACAAAGAAAAGGAAATGGTCTAATATGGCTCAAAATAGACATAAAAGTAAGCATACAGGTCCTATAATTCCTCCTAAACCAGAAATGCCTCCACAACATCTTCGAAAGATAATGATTGATCATGGCGATTTGTCCCTGAATAAAGTTGCATCAGATAAACGATCACATTTGGGCTCATTGAAATATCTTCCACATGCGTTGCTTAAATTGTTAGAAAACATGCCTCAGCCATGGGAGCAACAAAAGGAAGTGAAAGTTCTATATCACACCACTGGGGCCATAACTTTTGTTAATGAAATTCCTAGAGTGATTGAACCGGTATACATTGCCCAATGGGCAGCCACCTGGAATATGATGAGAAGAGAAAAAAAGGACAGAAAACATTTCAAGAGAATGAGATTTCCACCTTTTGATGACGAAGAGCCGCCATTGGATTGGTTAGAAAATCTTGAGGATGTCGCGCCTCAAGATGCAATTCGATTAAAGGAGATTGAAAATGATGAAGAACTTCAGGATTGGTTTTATGATCAGAAACCATTGGTTGAAGATTCAGACATAGTGAATGGTGAGTCCTACAAATGCTGGAACCTCGATTTGCCTACAATGGATAAATTATATCAGATTTCCAAACCGATTTTATCTCAGCAAGAGGGCTCCAAGTTTGACAAGAGAGCATTGTTTACAGCAAAAAGTCTCAATGTTGCGCTTCCTGGTGGACCAAAATTCGAACCACTTTTCAAAGATAAAATAAATAACCCAGAATTTGAGGATTTTACCGAGTTCAACTCAATTGATAGGATAATATTTAGAACTCCTGTTAGAACAGAGTATAAAGTTGACTACCCTTACTTGTATAATTCATTTGTCAAAAATGTGTCATTGGTGCCTCTTAATAAAACGCTCAGTACTACAACACATCAATCAGAAAAAGGGTTATCATCATTTACATTCAATACCAAATTCAATCCAATTGTGCCAAAGAAAAAAAGAAAGTCCACAAGAAGTGAGGAAGTGAATGAATTGTTGTTGGATGTGGAGCCGTTACTAAGTTGGACAGAAGTTGCTCAAGGCAATGATGATAATATTGAAGAATTTAAAGAGTTGCTAGTTGAGCCAAAAGGGACTGGAAGCGCATTGAATCTTCTCTCGGCACCATATCCGTTTAATCGTCGTAGTGGCAGAACAGTACGTGCACAGGATGTTGCTCTCACCAAAGATTGGTATGTTCGTTCAGTCCCAAAAGGAAGTACACCGAAAGTACGTGTTTCGTACCAGAAATTGTTGAAGAACAGTGTATTGAATGAATTGCACAATCCATCAAGAAGAAATAAGAAAACAAGACGTGCAAAGTTATTGAAGACCTTGAAATCAACAAAATATTTCCAACAAACCACCATTGACTGGGTGGAAGCTGGTTTGCAGGTATGTCGACAAGGATTTAACATGTTGAATTTGTTGATTCACAAAAGGGGCTTAACATACTTGCATCTAGACTACAATTTCAATTTGAAACCAACAAAAACACTCAGCACAAAGGAACGTAAAAAATCGCGCTTTGGTAATGCGTTTCACCTTATTAGAGAACTTTTACGAGCAATTAAAATAATTGTTGACTCCCATGTGCAATATCGTTTAGGAAATGTTGATGCTTATCAGTTGGCCGATGGACTTTATTATGTATTGAATCATTTGGGTCAACTCACTGGTATTTACCGATACAAGTATAAAGTGATGCACCAGATCCGTCAATGCAAAGATTTGAAACATATTGTCTACCAGAGGTTCAACAAGATAATAGGAAAAGGACCTGGATGTGGTTTTTGGCAGCCCGCTTGGAGAGTTTGGATCTTCTTTTTAAGAGGCATCATCCCGTTGTTGGAAAGATGGTTGGGTAACCTTATTGCTAGACAGTTTGAAGGAAGAAGACAGAACGATGTGGCGAAAACTATCACCAAGCAGCGTGTTGATGCATACTATGATATTGAATTACGTGCTCAAGTCATGCATGATATACTTGACATGATCCCTGAAGGGTTGAAACAAAGCAAGTCAAAGACCATTCTTCAACATTTAAGTGAAGCATGGCGTTGTTGGAAAGCAAATATTCCTTGGAAAGTTCCTGGATTACCCGAACCAATAGAGAAGATCATAGAGCGATACATTAAAGCCAAAGCTGATGGTTGGATTTCAGTTGCTCATTACAACAGAGAGAGGATCAGAAAGGGAGCTCACATTGAGAAAACTGTTGCCAGAAAGAATTTGGGTAGACTCACAAGACTTTGGATCAAAAGTGAGCAAGACAGACAAACAAACTTTGGTAAGAATGGGCCATTTGTTTCTCCAGATGAAGCTGTCAAGATATTCCAGACAACGGTTGAATGGTTGGAAAGCCGAAAGTTCAGTCCTATTCCTTTCCCTCCAATATCATATAAACATGATACAAAATTATTAGTTCTCGCGTTGGAAAACTTGAAGGAAAGCTATAGTGCCAATTCCATGTTGAACTCTTCACAGAGAGAAGAATTAGCTTTGATTGAACAAGCTTTTGATAATCCACATGAATGTTTGGTTAGAATAAAGAAGTTTTTGTTGACACAAAGAATTTTCAAGGAAGTAGGACTTGAGATGATGGATTATTACAGTCATTTGGTACCTTCGTATACAGTTGATCCATTGGAGAAAATAACTGATGCATATTTAGATCAATACTTGTGGTATGAAGCAGATAAACGAAGATTGTTTCCAAATTGGGTCAAGCCAAGTGATGATGAGATCGCTCCATTGTTGGTTTATAAATGGTGTCAAGGAATCAATAATTTACAGGATGTGTGGCAAACTAGAAATGGTGAGTGTAATGTGATGCTTGAGACATCGTTAGATAAATTTGCCGAGAATATTGATTTTACGTTGTTAAATAGACTATTGAGATTGGTTATGGACACCAATATTGCTGATTATATTACTGCTAAAAATAATGTTAATTTGACATTTAAGGATATGAGTCATGTTAACCAGTATGGTATTCTCAAAGGTCTTCAGTTCTCGTCGTTTGTTTACCAGTACTACGGCTTAGTTGTTGATTTGTTAATTCTTGGGTTAGAAAGAGCATCAGAATTAGCTGGATCAGTACAGAGCCCAAATAACTTTCTTCAATTTAAGGATGTTGAAACTGAAGTTGCATCCCCTATTCGATTATATTCCCGTTACTTGGACAAAATTCACATATTATTCAGGTTTGACGACGAGGAAGCAAGTGGCCTCATTCAAGACTATTTATCAGAACATCCAGATCCAAATTTTGAGAATGTAGTTGGTTACAATAATCGCCGCTGTTGGCCACGAGACTCAAGAATGCGTTTAATGCGTCATGATGTCAACTTGGGAAGAGCAGTATTTTGGGAAATCAGCGGTCGTATTCCTTCATCGTTGACTACTATACACTGGGAAGACACATTTGCATCCGTTTATTCGCGGGATAATCCAAACTTATTATTTCTGATGTGCGGATTTGAGGTCAGGATTTTACCTAAAGTTAGAGCTAATGAAATCCTGTCTTCCCAGGAAGGGGTATGGGATCTTGTTGATTATAACACCAAGGAAAGAACGGCAAAGGCATACTTGCAAGTGTCGCAGGAAGCTGTTGACCATTTTAACAACCGAATTCGTCAGATTTTAATGTCTTCAGGGTCTGTCACATTTACGAAGGTAGCAACAAGATGGAATACAGCCTTAATTGCCCTAGTGACATATTTCCGTGAAGCTGCTATTGCCACGCCATCCTTGTTAGATGTGCTTGTTAAATGTGAAACAAAAATACAAAACAGAGTGAAAATGGGTCTCAATTCCAAAATGCCATCAAGATTCCCACCTGCTGTGTTTTACACTCCTAAAGAATTGGGTGGATTGGGAATGTTGAGTGCATCGCATATCTTGATTCCGGCATCCGATCTCCGATGGTCAAAACAAACTGATACTGGAATAACTCATTTCAGAGCTGGAATGACGCATATGGAAGAAAAAATGATCCCTACAGTATTTAGGTATGTGACTTCCTGGGAAAATGAATTTTTGGATTCTCAAAGAGTTTGGGCGGAATATGCCATCAAACGACAAGAAGCCATTGAACAAAATAGAAGATTGACTTTTGAAGATATGGAACAGAATTGGGACAGAGGATTACCTCGTATCAGTACCTTATTTCAAAAAGACAGACACACTTTAGCATATGACAAGGGCCATAGAATAAGAAGAGAATTCAAACAGTATAGTTTAGCACGATTCAATCCATTTTGGTGGACAAATAGTAACCACGATGGTAAGTTATGGAATCTCAATGCATATAGAACAGATGTCATACAAGCTTTAGGTGGTATTGAGACTATTTTGGAGCACACTTTGTTCAAAGGGACTGGTTTTGATTCATGGGAAGGCTTATTTTGGGAGAAAGCTTCAGGTTTTGAAGATACTTTGAAGTTCAAGAAATTGACGAATGCTCAAAGACAAGGGTTGAGTCAAATTCCTAATCGTAGGTTCACATTATGGTGGTCACCTACAATTAATCGTGCCAACGTGTATGTGGGGTTCTTGGTTCAGCTTGATTTGACTGGTATCTTTCTCCATGGGAAAATTCCAACACTCAAGATATCGTTGATTCAAATATTTAGAGCTCATTTATGGCAGAAGATCCATGAAAGTGTGGTGCAGGATTTATGCCAAGTTTTGGATAAAGAATTGGAAGTTTTGCAAATCGACAATGTTGAAAAACAAGCTATTCACCCACGTAAGTCCTATCGAATGAACTCATCTTCTGCTGATATTGTTTTGACAAGCACATACAAGTGGCATGTATCTAGACCTTCATTATTGAATGACAAGGACGAAGAAATGCTGATTCCTACAAACAAGTTTTGGATTGATGTCCAGCTTCGATATGGTGATTACGATTCACACGACATATCACGTTATGCAAGATCAAAGTTTTTGGATTACACAACTGATGGTTCAAGCTCCTACCCATCTCCCACGGGTATTATCATTGCAATTGATTTGGCTTATAATATGTACGATGTTTATGGTAATTGGTTCCCTGGTTTGAAACCATTAATTCACAATGCTATGAGAGAAATTATGAAGGCAAATCCGGCATTGTATGTTTTACGTGAACGTATTCGTAAAGGTTTGCAACTTTACCAATCTCAACCACAGGAGGCGTTCTTAAATTCCAATAATTATGCCGAATTGTTTAACAATGATACTCAATTATTTGTCGATGATACCAATGTTTACAGAATTACCGTCCATAAAACATTTGAAGGAAACTTGGCAACAAAACCAATTAACGGGTGTATTTTTATTCTCAATCCAAAAACTGGTCAGTTGTTCTTGAAGATCATTCACACGTCGGTTTGGGCTGGTCAAAGGCGTTTGGGTCAGTTAGCTAAATGGAAAGCCGCTGAAGAAGTTGCTGCATTGATCAAATCATTGCCTAGGGAAGAACAACCAAAACAATTAATTGTCAGTAGACGAGGAATGATGGATCCGCTTGAAGTTCATATGTTGGATTTCCCGAATATTTCTATTCGACCATCAGAGTTACATTTGCCGTTCGGTGCTGTGATGAAAATTGACAAATTATCAGATATTGTGTTGAAAGCAAATGAGCCTCAAATGGTTTTGTTTAACTTTTATGACGATTGGTTGAAACATATTTCACCATACACTGCGTTTTCAAGAGTTATTTTGATATTAAGAGCATTGAATGTTGACACTGACACGACAAATCATATTTTGCGTCCGAATGCCAATATTGCAACTGAGGACCATCACATTTGGCCAACATTGAGTGACGAACAATGGGTTGATGTGGAAGCACAATTAAGAGATTTGATTTTAGAAGACTACTCAAAGAAGTATAATGTCAACATACAATCTTTAACCCAGTCAGAAATTCGTGATTTGATATTGGGTCAAGATATTAGAGCACCATCAGTCAAGCGTCAAGAAGTAACAGAAATAGAAAATGGAAACGGCAATAAAGAGCTGGAGAACAAGGAATTAACGGCATTGAAGACCACTACCACCAATGTCCATGGTGAAGAGATAACTACTGTTACGACCACTAATTATGAACAGCTGACATTCTCATCCAGGAACGAGTGGAGAAATCGTGCTATTGCGGCAAACAACTTGCATTTGAGAGCAAAGAATATATTTGTCAATTCTGAAGAGTTTATCGATGATGATTCATTCACCTATATTTTGCCAAAGAACATTTTGCAAAAGCTCATTCAGATTTCTGATTTAAGAGTTCAAGTCGGTGCATTTCTTTATGGTACCTCTCCAGAAGATCATAATGGTGTTAAGGAAATCAAATGTATTGCAATTGTACCACAATTGGGAAATGTTAATTCTATACAATTTGCTCAAAATCTTCCACAAAACATAGGATACCTCGAAAATTTAGAGCTTTTGGGTTGGATCCATACGCAATCACAAGATTTTAGCTACATGACATCTTACGATATAACTACCCAATCACGTTTCTTTGATGAATACAAGCCGAACTTTATAACCATGACAGTTAGCTACACGCCTGGTTCGGTGACAGTATCGTCTTTTGAGTTATCCAAGGAAGGTTTTGAATGGGGACAACTGAATTCCGATATGATGTCGGAGTCACCCGCAGGATTCAAGAAAGATTATGCCAAAAAGAGTCAGTTGATTATGTCAGATCAGATAGCCGGTACCTTCATGGTTCCAGAAGATGATGTGTGGAATTATTTTTTTATGGGTGCCATATTTAATCCCAAGGAGTTGTACGACTTGAAGGTCGACATCCCACTTACATTCTATGATGAGTTACACCGTCCAATACATTTTACTACATTCACGCAGATAGAGAATGGCAATGATGAAGAAGAGTTGAATCAACAAGATGTATTCAAGTGATTTTATGTAATTATTTATAATTTATGTTTTAATTCCCCTGTAAGAAGCTTTTTGAATCTGGACATTGGCTCACCGGAAGTCCATTTGTAGACTCCTCTAGATACTTCTTGTGAGTTTACCTCGCTAATGCGTGGCTTAAACATGGCCTGTAACAACTGTTTGTTTTGCAAGATTGAGTCCTGATGTAAAGTCTCAGTTGCATCTAGCAACTCGTTCAAGACAGTAACATTAAACTCTTCAGCAGTCTTGAATTTTCCATTATAGTGTTTATTGATCAAACCAGCATTTTGCAAATCATCTCCAGAAATCCTTTTTGATAGCAATAACGCTTCAGATGCCTTTGACCAACCCAATCTCATAGGTAAAGTAGCCGACGTCCCCCCTTCAGCAAGGATACCTATATTGGCAAATGGAGTCAAAAGAAATGTTTTGGACAAATCATTAACATATATCAAATCACAAAGAGTAACAAAAGAAGCTGATAATCCAATAACTGGACCATTCAACGCAACAGCTAAAATCTTCTTATGGGCAAGGAAAGTTTGAACCAAGAATGTCTGTTTGGCAATTGATAAATTCATCCACGTTTCGAGTTCAGCATCTTGTCCAACAATTGAATCAGCATTGGCGCCAGCTGAAAATACTCTACCAGTTGATTGAATCAAGGTAATTATGGTGTCTTCTTCATTGTTGGCTCTTTCCAAATATTTGCAAATTGTATCGTATTGATGAATGGTCAAGGAATTCAACTTTTTTGGATTATTCAAAGTAATTAACACTGCCCTATCTTTGACTTCATATGTAATAAGTTCGTCAGACATTCTAAACTGTAGATTGAAAAAAAAAAAAAAAACCTTTTAGTTTTAGAAAGAAGTTTATCTTTCTTATACAATGAGATGGTATTTTGAATTTCTTAATCTTTCTTTTTTATTTTTGTTTTTGTCTGTTAATAAGCTTCCCCACAGTTGTTGGTTTCAATCCTGTGATTGATCCCGCAGCGCGGTTAGCGTATGGTGCGCAACCTCGGCACTATATTTTTGTGTACACAATATTTACATTCATACACCCTACTTACCAGTGTCTAACAGATATAATATGTTCTTCAATGGCTACTAAAAGTTTTCGTAGCTCATTTCTTGGAATATCCTCTTTTAATAACAACAATTCCAAGGAATTCTTTCCATTCATATACATTAATAACTTGTAGAATATTGTGACAAGCTCATGTGGTAATTTACATTCCTCAAAAATAATCTTGTTTATCCATCTTCGTTCCAATGTGGTAGCTCTTCCAGGGTCAAGTATAATTGTATCATCCTCTTGCACTAAGGTAACAGTTGGAATCTTGTCAAGTGTGTCTCGGAGATCTGTAAATGCAGGAAAGTGGGTCTGATGCTTAAACTCTTCATCAGCAGATTTGTTCCGATCATGAATATCATTGATTTCATTAACTTGTTTTGACGAATTGTCTGTTTTGGTCTTTGATGAGTTGTCGATCTTCTTTACATCCAGAAACAGTCTAGTATTCAGCCGTGTCTTTTTCTTCTTTAAAATGTTTTCATTCTCAATGTCTTCTTCTACTTTGAGTTTGATTTTTCGTGAAATCTTTAACCATATAAATGTTTGTAGTTGCGTCACATATCCATGCTTGATTAACCACCCCAAAGCTTGCAAATACCTGTCTCTATGGTCCTTTGATGGAATCACGGCAGCAAATTGTTGAGGTTTCCGTGATTGTGGAGAAAATAACTTGAGGAACTGCGGTAAAGGAGGCAACATGGGGAATTTTTGTCTAAACAGCGAGATGTCATCGTACAATTTAATACTTATTGGAGCCATGGGTGACACAATATATACAGATCTAGATGACAATGGTTGGATCACTCTAGCTCGCCTCCAATATATCAAGTGATACGCAAAATTTTTTATTTGAGAAATATCAAGTTTATTGTTTCTCATTGATAACTTCAACAAAGATTCAGTAGGTTTGATCATCCGGATGAACTTGGCAAGTGTCGAGTTGTTTTCTGTCTTCATATCTTTAATGATGGATTCAGGTTCGTCAAGTAAAAGTAATGCAAAATATATAATCACCTTATCAGCAGAATCGTCATCGTCTTGTGCTGCTTGGAATGCCTGCCCATATCTTGTTGTCTCACCAACGTTGAGAAATCCATTGTCGCCAAGCAGCTTTACAATGGAGGACAAATACGATCCTGGAATAAACGGGACTGAAGCATCCGGTAGTGAATGGAATTCCGTTTTAATAGGTATTTGAAAGGACCGTAGCTTACCATTGATGGACAAATTGGCAATTGTTGATGTACTTATGGCCTGGTAACAGTCGCGGATGACTCGACAAAGAGAAGATTTCTCAGTCAAAAAGGCTTCATTCCCGTCCAATTGGTCTCTAAGCTCTAGAATATTCTTAACTTGATGGGATATATATGCATGCTTCTGTTGTTCATATCTTAATACAAGTGACAACCTCGATATGACATAGTGAAACATTTCGTCAACTCTGTAGTTACTTTCGATTACTGGTGGATTCATCACAAACACTAAATGGAACATACTTAAAATATTCTTGCTATCTTTTGCAGTTGACTCCTCTGCATCTTCTTCAAGCTGTTGGTCTTTTGCTTCTCCACGTTGGCTGCCATCAAGGTTTCTATGTGTACTGCTCCTCCATTGCCCGTTGTCTTGTCTATGCACCGGGAACCCCAAGAATATCTTGTCTTCAATTGTTATCTCAAATCGAGTGTTGCACATTTGTTTTGGAGGGGCTAACATTTCACAAATGTATGCTGGATCATTCCCAAATATTTCGCCATTGATGGTAGATTCACGGCCAGAAGTTGTAGACTGGCTTGCTGTTGTGCTGGCCTTGGAGACAGTCTTAGTTAAGATGTTCTTGAGTGCAGCATTGTTGGTTTTCTTCTTGTCGCTGCCCTTGGATTTCAATTGATCAAGATACTTTCGTTGATTGTCTTGTTCGTCCAAAAACGTCAACAAGTCTAGTTTGGTACCTAAATAGTAATCCAAGTTCTTAGCATCCCATGTCCTTGAACTTACTCCATACATTTCATTCTCGGGAATTGATTTTTCCATATATCTTCCATTTCCTTCATCATCTTCATCATCATTACTCTCATTTTGGTCGTATAATTCATCGTCAACATCATTATCCTTAGTGAGTTTAACATTTTGTTCGCCCAAAATCTTCAAATTATGTCGATCGTTTGTTAAATCAAATGGGTACTTGTAAATTAATTGAGGACCGCTATGAGTAGATATTACCAATAGAATACCTTCTAAACTTGGATTGGGTAGGTTGAAACTCATAGCTGTAATTTAGTTTTGATAAATGTGACAAGTCAGTAGACTAAAACCATTAAAAACAGGAGAGGGAGAAAAATTAAAGAAAAAAAATTAAAAAAAAAAAACACACTTACATTTGGTATTTACTACGCAGTGGGAAACTATACGAATATTTAACTATCTAAAGCTTGTGTTTGACTTCCTTTTGAGCCAATTGAACAAATCTAGTTTGTGGAACACCTTCCAACCATTTACCTAAACCTCTCATAACCTCCTGTGAATTAGCATGGTTTATAAATTGGTCTCTTGATAATTTCAACAATTGCTTGTTTTGCAAAATTGAATCCTCGTGCAAATTTTCAAAAGCATCATTCAACTCCTTATAAACTTGATCATTGAATTGTTCTGTGGAAGAAAATTTACCATCGTAGTGTTTATTAATCAAACCAGCATTATAACAATCAGCACCACTTATAGGTTTAGCTAACAATAAAGCTTCAGATGCCTTGGACCAGCCCAATCTGGCAAACAAAGTAGCAGAAGACGCACCTTCAGCAACCAAACCTAAATTAGCAAATGGAGCCAAAAGATAAAATTTATTTAAATCATGAACATAGATCAAGTCTACCAACATTAACAATCCGGTACTCAACCCAATGACTGGACCATTGACAGCTGCGGCCAAAATCTTTTTGTGATCATTGAACAAGTTGGTCAACCAGACATTTCTTGCGACAAATCTTTCCAACCAGTATTCGTGACTAAATAACTTTTCAACTTCAACTTTAGTCATATCATTGTCAGCAAAGTTGGCCCCAGCAGAAAAGAATCTACCCAGTGCTTGGATTAACGTCAATACGGTATCTTCTTCATTGTTGGCTCTTTCAAGAAATTTACCCAATTTTAAATATTGAGCACCATTCAATGCATTCAATTTATCTGGGATGTTCAAGGTGATAATGGCGGTTCTATCTTTGACTTCGTATAAGATATCGGTTTCTTCTTCGGACATGGTTGCAATTGTTATTTATTCAGTATAAGAGTATGGATATAAAAAAAAAAGGATTCTAAAAAAAGAATATCTATCCAAGTGAAATAGAAAGCTATTTATCTTGATTTTTTTTTTGTGGTGGTGGTGGTGATGGATATTTCATTATGGCGGATAAAAATACACAATTGAGGGGTCGTGGTTACCACCTCCGCGGTCTTGGAAGATTGTGGGAAAACATGGAGTCGATAAATACGCACAGAGAATAAAGATTCATATGCAAAAGAAAATCAGAATGAAACACAAACTTCCTATAATTTGTAGACAGTATACACAAATGTTCTACGTAGCACTTCCATTTAAGGAAATCTAGAACTTTACTTTGCAACTTGAGTTGATAACCATTCCAAACCTTCATACAACCCATCACCTGTAGTAGCACATGTTGCTTGAATATACCATGGTCTTTGTCTGATAGAATGCAATCCCATTTTCTCTGTGATTTCAGCTGCATTCATGGCATTCGGTAAATCTTGTTTGTTGGCTAATACCAATAATACCGCATCCTTCAACTCATCTTCATTTAACATCAGCTGTAATTCCTCTCTTGCTTCGTTTATTCTATCTCTATCGTTAGAATCGACAACAAAAATGATACCTTGGGTGTTTTGAAAGTAATAACGCCATAGTGGTCTAATCTTGTCTTGACCACCGACATCCCAGACAGTGAAGGAGATATTCTTGTACTCGACAGTTTCAACATTAAATCCAATGGTTGGAATGGTAGTTACGATTTCACCCAATTTTAATTTATACAAAATAGTTGTCTTACCTGCTGCATCTAATCCAACCATTAGTATTCTCATTTCCTTTCTCCCCAAGAGACTCGCAAATAACTTTGAAATTGATAATCCCATGTTTTATTTAATCAATTAAATTTGGTAGATGGAAAGAAATATAAAATCAGCTTACCCATAGAAATCAAGTTAGAGAAAAAAAAAAGATCATTAGATTTTGTGTGTATGCATTATGACCAAAAAAAAAAAAAACTCAATTATGTCGTAGCACACGACTTTTTATTTTTTTTCTTTCTTGTGCTGAACGAGACAATTTATTTTTTGTTCAACTAAAAAAAAAAAGAAAATAACAACACTAAAGGAAAGCACTTCACCGTATATCCATAGACTAAACATGTCCATTGAGGCAATATTCCCTACTCAAACTGTGAACAAGCCAATAAGTAGTTCTGTTTTTGGAGTTGACTTGAAATTTGTTGATGAGAGTTATCCAGAATCGATAGAGAAAACAAACTTTGCTGTCCCTGTATTCACTATAAACAATGTTGACTACGTATTGATAAAAGACTTGGCTTCATTTTGGGGATTTCCTTCCTCGTATCAATTAATTAGCAGACTTCTAAAACTGGGCGCTGTTCAGAAGGTGCAAATTTTAAAGACAGATTCGTCGTTGAATCAGCAGTTGTTTGAGTCAGCCGTAATAAAAGATGCAGAATTAAAGTTGGACCTCTTTTATATCTCACTTCCATTAATTTTTTCCAGAATTGAAGATAAAAGCTTGTTTTACATACAAGAGGATACTGAAATGAATAATTTGAGACTGGAAGATAAATGCGAAGAGATTGGAAGTACTTTGAATAATAAGAATGCTACCCATAAGAGCGTCATCGCCACGAATAAAGTAGACAATGAAAACGACGACGAAGATAATGATGATGATGTTGATGAAGATGACGAAGAAGATGACGAGGATGATGATGGTGATGATGATGAAACAGAAGTTGATGATTTGAATGGGAATGGAACGGGAACAAAAAAGTCGATAAAGTCAAGAAATCCTGGGGTTAAAAGTGCAATCAGCAATGATGAAAAAGTAACCATCGGACAAGTTTTTCAACAGTACGGCACAGACACAACAACTCCCATGACACATGCTTCATTCAATAGCATCAATGCAATGTCGAAATTGAATTACTATAAGAATTTTGGAATGTCTGGTATTAGATTTCTCCCGAATAACAAGTTGTCCTTTGCAGAACGTGATTTGGTCTTGAGTACAAACAACTTCAATGATATCCATATCGACGAAGAAACAAAACCTAAAATCGAAGAGAAAAAGAAAAGTTTCCGTAAACCAATTGGAAAATCAAAAAAGCACAATTTACTGATTGATCCTAATTCGATTGACTTAGCCGAGTCGGTCATTCCGGGTCAAGGGTACATTCCTGACTTTAGTATCAATCACATATGTAAAGTGCCTAACTATTATGTAACTTCGAGTCACCAAAGTCTTGCACAATCATTCAATACTAAGAATCTTAACTCGTCGTCGAACTCGTCGTTCTTGTTTAATGACAGTGTTCGAATCAAGTCCAAAAACATACAACAACTTGTTTTCAGCAATGAAAGTGATCACTACAACCACTCCAAATATTACTACACCAAAACTTACCGTGGACCAGGTTCTGGTAATTATAAGGACGGTGCATTAATGAACAAGATCAACAAGCTTCACTTTTCATCACATGGAAAGCCTTCTCACAAGAAAAGGATCTCAAACAATGACAGATATAATAAGAGTTTGAAAGGTTTAGTATTTGAAAAATTTGATAAGGACTTTGTGGAGAATTTACTTGCTGACCAACGTAAATATGCAGAGGACTATAACAACCTTGAAATGCTTCACAACAACCTCCAGTTCAACGTTTTATTAAACACATACAGAGACTTGGCGCAGCAGACATGGGACAACTACTACAAGTTTAAGTTGATTGATTTTGAACAACTACGTGCGTTGCAGACTGAAAAGGAGGAAATCGAGGAAAGGAAGAGGGCAATTGAAAGACATGATAATTGGGTGGAAGAGGAAAAACTGCGTCAAGAACAGTTGCGTTTGCTCTTTGAAGAAGAAAGAAAAGAATTTGAAGATTTACAAAATGAATCAGCCCAGAAGAAAAAGGAGATTGAAGAAAAAAGTCGTCGTCGTCAGTTGGAAGCTTCTCTTAGTGATTCTTTTGGTAATAACGAAGAAAACGAAAACAATGATGTATCTGAGATTGCAAATATCGAACAGGAATTTGTGACGAAACGTGATGAATTGAAGGAGAACTTTGACAAGAAAAAGCAAGGGCTTATAAATCAAATCCCGCCCCCACAACCAATTGAAACACCACAGCTCGACCTTGGAATGAAATTTACTCTACCAACAGCATATCCAGAAATTATGCGTAACTTGCCCTTGGAACTCCGTACTGCTGCTCAAGAAAGTAAAGACGATGTTCCTGTGGTCAAGAAACCTATTCGTTACGTGACATCTTACCCAGAAGGTCCTAATCCAGAATTCTTGACAAGAATTGAAATCATCAAATTGCCTAATTCAAATTCCGTTGGTTGGGACAACTTGAAAAAATACAAAAGCGAGGACTAATTGTATATTATAGTACCTACATAATCCAATGCCATTTATTAGCTCCTTTGAATGACCTGCCGTGTTTGTTTGGGTATTCTGTGTACACCAAACAGTAGTGGTCTAATAGTAGTCGTATCTCTTCAATCTCATCAATAAACTCCAATTTGTTAATACGATGCAACTCTTGATCATCGATCCATTGGGAATTATGCTCCTTATAACCACCAACATCACTCATGTCGGTCAATCTCGAATTCAGCAACCCGCACTCCCCTTCAAGAAACCGCTTTCTGGCCGCTAGATCGGGGTATTTGTTGAACATCTGCAAGTTGAGTCCCCTGTTGAGCAAGTTCTGCGTCATTGTAGTGCCAAACTGGTCGTTCAACGACATTGGCTCGTAAATCAAGAACCCCATGATGTTGTCGCCACTATGGCTTGTCCAGTACTTGATTGTCTTCTCGTATTCTTCAGGCGATAAGTAGCACAACACACACTCGCTGATCACCAATGTGGGTACATCCTCTTTGAACCCAGGCATTTTGTTGTCGAGTGTTCGTAAATCTAGTCCGTGGAGATAGTATTGTCGTGTGAACAAATCTGGACTGTATTCGGCAAACGACGACTTGCTTTCAATAGGTGGTGCACTCTCGTCCGTTCCAACAATATCTCTGAGCTTACTGCTCTGCAAAATCGCCAACTTCTTGATTCTTGTGGACTCTGGAAAATCAATCTCATGGATAACCAATTCCGGGTGTTGCTGCAACAACGTGAATGCTCTGGTGTCTGATCCGCTTCCCAACGACACAATTTGGCATTTTCCTGAAAACTCGTCGACAAATTCCCGTACTACTTTATCAATAGCGGTGGTGCGTAGGTAGGATCCTCTGTTGATCAATGGGAACTTTCTTTCCTGGAATACTGTCCTCAATGTCCTTGAAGACGACAACTGGGTATACCCCTGACAATACTGCAAATGTTGTTGGTAGCTTTGGATCAAGTCCGGGATGAACTCGTCACGCGGAACCAAGTACGACTTTTCATTGATGCTATATCGGCAACTCAACGCATCCAAGTCCGTGGCACGGACCAACTTATCGTGTCGATCCTGTGGAGAAAACATAAAGAGAATGAAGTCAGTTTGTTTTGGACTTGTTGTTCGCTCTTCATTTTTTTTTTTCTCTCTCTCTAGAGCTCTCTCTTTCTCTCTCTTCGCTTATCATTATACTATCGTCATCTATTCACTTCTATGGATGCCCTATTTCTTCTTGATTATCACCCACCAGTTGTCTCGTTCGTAGCCTTCCTCCACTATCGAGCACCTTTCTGTTTTCAAGCAATTGTCCACCAACTCTCCTTTCCTGTACAAATGATAATACCTGTACTTAGTGACATCGGGTGTCTCTTGTGGCTCTTCTTCTGGCACCTTATCCGTCTCTGGCGAATCTTTCGTCTTACTTCCCTTTTTCTTCTTCAGTGGTTGTGGTTTCTTCAACACCCAAGGAATCAATATGTCCTGGTCATCCCCTTCTTTGTACCCACGACGCGACTTCTCTTGCTCCAATGCCCAACAATAAATCAAAGCTTCACCGCCAGTTTTTAATTTCGAAAGGATATGCAGAATAGCCTCAATCCGTCTTTCTTCATTGGCAAAATGGTGAATCACAGCAATCGATATCGCAAAGTCAAATGTGTTGTCTGGGTGGGGCAATGCCAACCCGTCGGCAACCCCCAAATTGTACCTATTGTTGGAAATCTGCTGGCCACATTGGACCAACCCATCCGATCTGTCGGTACCTATCATGAACAAATCCTTGTTGACATTCAAGTACTTTCCGTTTCCACACCCCACATCTATCCCAACGGAGTATTTGGGTCTCAGCATCAAGAACTTTTCAACTATCGGCCACGGCTTGTATCTAGTCTGTGAAAAATGGCTCGCTATTTCGTTATACACATCATGGACATATGTATCCTCTTGATTCTGTGGGTCTAGTCCTCTTTCTATCGATACAGATGGCACTGATGCTGACATTGGTGGTGGTTGATGACTACGGACTAAATGAATGAAAACGATGACAAGAAAAAAAAAAAAAAAAAAAAGAAAAAACGAAAATACTTCGAGGCCAATCACAAACACACTGGCACACAACAAGCAATGGTATTCTCAAGAAACTCTATACTCATATTCGGCTTATTAATGGCGGGACCATGGATCTGGGTCTTATGGAAGACTTCTACACCTACCAGAATGCTACAAACGGTTGACATTTCAATAGGATTTGACAAGCAATCAGAGCAGTTCAACTTCCCTGACTTGGTAGACGCAACCCAGATCCAAATAGATGCCGAGCTACCGTATGTCACGAATCGATCAATAGCCGTGAACCTTCTTGACAATTTACGTGGAGACATCCCCAAAGAAAGAACAAACTATTCTGTCGAGCTTGTACTTTCGCGAGACAATTCGCTTGCGGTTTCCCCCGACGGTCTAACAGCATATGTGTTCTACTCATATGAATCAATCCAGTCCAATGATCTTCCCTATTTGATTACACAGACAATACTTTATCATTTATTAAAGTCGGAAGTTGCCTAAATGTAACCTCCCTGTTTACATAGACTATAGAATATACCGTCCTTTTTGTCTAGCAATTTTTGTGGTGCATCGAATTCTTTCAATTCCCCTTTATCCAAACTCACAATCTTGTCACTGTCCATAACTGTCTCCAATCTATGCGCAATAGTGATTATTGTCCTGTCTTTAAATTGTGTTCTAATGTTCTGACGAAAATAATTGTCCATTTAGAATATTATAATTTCGAGGCTTGTTGACATCATAATCATTTTTTGAAACCACCACTTTGTTATACTTACAGAACTCTTAAATAACAGTAATAACAGATAAATAAATGAATATTTAATAAACAATTAACTAAATATACGTATGGAAAATACTATAAACATTAATAGAAAGCTCATTAATATTTGCTCTTGATGTAGTTCAAAGCAGAACCGTGTTTGAACCATTCAATTTGTTCGTCGTTATAAGTGTGGGTCAATTCAGCATCCCAAGCTTCACCTTGTTTTGGATGAACTCTCATGGTAATGTTCTTACCTGGAGCCAATTCAGTCAAACCAATTAAATCAACTTCGTCATCTGGGTTGATCTTGTCGTAATCAGCTGGGTTCTTGAAGTTCAATGGCAACAAACCTTGTTTCTTCAAGTTAGTTTCGTGGATACGAGCAAAGGATTTGGTAATAATAGCAAAACCACCCAAGAATCTTGGTTCCAAAGCAGCGTGTTCACGGGAGGAACCTTCACCAAAGTTTTCGTCACCAATGACAACCCAAGTGTGACCAGCATCTCTGTAAGCAGCAGCAGTACCTGGAACAGTGTCGAATTTACCAGTGTAGTGGTTTTGAACGTTGTTAGCTTCACCGTTGGCGGCGTTGATGGCACCTATCATGTAGTTATTGGAGATGTTTTCCAAGTGACCACGATATTTCAACCAAGGACCAGCCATAGAGATATGATCAGTGGTAGTCTTACCAACAGCTTTAATCAAGATTGGTAATCTTTCAGCATCTTTACCATTCCATGGTTTGAATGGAGTTAATTTTTGCAATCTATCAGAGGTTGGGGAAATGACAACTTCAACAGAGGCTCTATCTTCTGGTGGAGCTTGGTAGGTGTTTTCACCTGGGTCGTAACCATCTGGTGGCAAACCAACACCTTGTGGTTCTTTCAATTTGAATTCTTTACCGTCAGCACCAACTAAAGTATCAGTGATTGGGTTGAAACCTAAGTCACCGGAGATAGCGTAGACAGTGGCCATTTCTGGAGAGGCAACGAAAGCGTGGGTAGCTGGGTTACCATCGTTTCTGGAAGTAAAGTTTCTGTTGAATGAGGAGACAATGGTGTTCTTTTCACCCTTCTTGACGTCTTGTCTATCCCATTGACCGATACATGGACCACAAGCGTTAGCCATGACAACACCACCAAAGTCTTCGAAGGTCTTCAATTGACCGTCTCTGGCAATAGTAGCTCTGACTTGTTCAGAACCTGGGGAGACAGTGTACAAAGCCTTAGCTTTCAAACCGTGAGCACCAGCATCCTTGATAATAGAAGCAGCTCTGGTCATATCTTCGTAAGAAGAGTTGGTACAAGAACCAATCAAACCAACTTTAACTTCCAATGGCCAGCCGTTAGCAATAGCAGTTTCCTTCATCTTAGAAACTGGGGTAGCTAAATCTGGGGTGAATGGACCGTTGATGTGTGGTTCCAAGGTGTTCAAGTCAATTTCAATAACTTGGTCGTATTCAGCACCTTCATCAGCAGAAAGCAAGTCCTTCTTGTAAAGTTGAGCAAAGTCAGCAATTTGAGATCTACCGGTGGCATTCAAGTAGTCAACCATAGAGTTGTTGAATGGGAAAACAGAAGTAGTAGCACCAATTTCAGCACCCATATTACAAATGGTACCCATACCAGTACAGGAGAATGTTTCAACACCAGAACCGAAATATTCGACAATGGAACCAGTACCACCCTTGACGGTAGTAATACCAGCCAATTTCAAGATGATATCCTTTGGAGAAGTCCAACCAGACATTCTACCGGTCAATTTAACACCAATAATCTTTGGGGCTTTCAATTCCCATGGCAAACCAGACATGACATCGACGGCATCAGCACCACCAACACCAATAGCTAATTGACCCAAACCACCAGCGTTTGGAGTGTGGGAATCGGTACCAATCAACAAAGCACCTGGGAAAGCATAGTTTTCCAAAACAATTTGATGGATAATACCAGAACCTGGTTTCCAGAAACCTAAGTTGTATTTAGCACAGGCAGAAGCCAAGAAGTCGTAGACTTCTTTGTTCAAATCAATGGCTCTAGCCAAATCCTTTGGACCACCAACTTGAGCTTGAATCAAATGGTCACAGTGGACAGTAGATGGAGTAGCAACTTGTGGGATACCAGCAGACATAAATTGCAAAATAGCCATTTGGGCAGTAGCATCTTGACAAGCAACTCTGTCTGGTCTCAATTTCAAGTAGGAGACACCTCTTTCAATGTCTTGGTTTTGTGGGTCATCCAAATGACTGTACAAGATCTTTTCAGCGTAAGTCAAAGGTCTGTTCAATCTGGATTTAACAATGTCAAGGTTTTCAACATTCTTTTTGTAGTTAATGAAGGAGTGAGATTCCAACAAGTTTTGGTTAACTTGAGAGTCTCTGGTTAAGCCGGAGGTAGCCAAACCACGAATAGAACGTGGAGCTCTCATAGCAGTTCTTGAAGCAGACAACATTTTATAATGATGATTGTTGTTTTAAGAATTGAGGATGGGAGAAAAGAAAAAAAAAAGCTTCAACACAATTGGCTATAGAATTTTTAACTGAGTGAGAAATGGATATCTTTATATAGGACGAAAAATTTGTTTGGAGATTTTCACTGACTCCAACAAAAATTTTTTCGGCTCCATAAAATGGATTGATCCTGTATAATGTCTCTTCCAATAGCACACGCGAAATTTATAATACAAAGAAAAATAAAAAATAAAAATTTTCAAACTTCCTCTGATCCCTTCACAGACAGAGAAGGGAGAGAAAGAGAGTAGTTGCAAGACGTATCTGGTATTAAGCAGTATAGATAGAAGAGATGTAATTCTTATCGGTTATTTGATCAGTACGAGATCACGGTATTTGCAATTGAGATCATCCCTCGGCTCTTAGCTTGATTCTTTTTACTTTCATGCACGCACGCTCATGAGGAGTTTATTATTTTTTTCTCCAGATTTCACAACTCCGAATTCACAGAGCATTCAAGGGAGAACGAAAAAAAAAAAAGAAAGTATAAATGAACGATTCGTGATTGGCTGGACGCGCAGGTGTTTAAATTACAAATCCCTAAAGTGATTTTATTTTTCTTAGCCCTATTATTTTTCGTATTTGATATGAAATTATTCTTTGACTAACCTTCTGGTCATACCATATAAAATGCAAGTCTAAACATGAATAATTTGCTACCTACGGTGGAGAAACGGGATGGTTTCAACTATTCTAATCCTCCCATCCAGTAAAAAAAATCGAACGAATTGTAATTGTTCACAAAAGCTTACATCCAACAAAGTTTTTTTTTTTTGAGATAGTTATCAACAGAGGCACGACCGCATCAAAGACGAAGTGAAAAAATTTTTCATTTCTTTCATTGTGGAAACCACACAAAAGTAAGAAAGAGAATTGCCACATCTCAGAAAAAAGGGGAATCACCAGCCCACATCTTGCACGGGATGAGATGCAAAAAGAAAGCCCAACGCGGGACTCGAACCCGCAACCTTGAGATTAAAAGTCTCACGCTCTAAGCCGATTGAGCTAGCTAGGCTGTTCTTGTGTTAGCTCGAGTCCGCAAGGGTGGGACGACATGTATTATATAATTCAGAGTATTTTGCAACAAGGTTTTGATAGAAAAATTAGAATACAACTGTACATCTTGTTCCTCATGTTTATTTACCAATTTGTACCTCAGTAAATTAATAGATCATGTGCGGCTGAGCAGTATCCCTAAATACGTTCAAGTGTTACCAAACACAGATGGTATAGTTCGTTTGTGATGGAACGGTAATAATTAAATAGATCATCAAATAGCACAATACTAACAGCAATGGTCACTTATATCAATTTAAACTGAGTATCTTGAATCAATATGTTGCTTGATGTTATTCAAAAACTCTGTGAGATGTTTTTCACCGGTGTATGAATTAGCATTCTGGTAATGTCTGATTCTATTTTTAAATCAAACTTGGAACTTGGTGCTATAGTCAAAATCAATATATTGAAATTATCAGGTTTATTCTTCTATCATTCTATGGTTAATATATATACTATTTTTCTTGTGTGCCAAATTCTTCAAAAATTGGTCAATATTTGCTACAAAATTTTTATTCTTTGTCAAAATGATACTAGAAATAAAGAAAAACAAGAACTTCCTTTAACAAACTTACCATAAAAAATTCAAAAAGATACAATAAGTACCATGCTGTTCGCTTTTGAGAAACAATTCATTACAGGTCAATATTACTTGAGACACAACTAGATCTGATTGCAGTATATTTACAGTCGTCATAAGGTGCAAACTTATTCCTAAATGTTCAATATATTAAAATTCAGACTGAAATTACTTCAATTTGGGACATTGTATGCTTAAAAAAGATAATTGAATTAGATTGTACCCCAACCGTTGACCATTTCTTACCAATAGGAACTTCTGATTTTATTTAATTACCATTGATCAAATTTCCTATTTATACTCTTTGTTAGTGGAAGACTATTTTCGACACTAATTTGAGATAGATTATAAAACAAAGGACCAGTATTTGCAATATATAAATATACTTTAACAATGAGCTAAGATCAATAGCTAAAATGAGGATATTTGCTGGAACAAAGAATTCAATTTTTTGTTAGTATGATATTGGAGTTTACTCACAATTTTCACAATCATGTACCCATAATATTAAATGCATGCCCCACCCTTGCGGACTCGAGCTAACACAAGAACAGCCTAGCTAGCTCAATCGGCTTAGAGCGTGAGACTTTTAATCTCAAGGTTGCGGGTTCGAGTCCCGCGTTGGGCTTTCTTTTTGCATCTCATACACTTGTGTGACGCCGAGAGTATTCACCTTTTTTTTATTTTTGCTGACATAATTGATATCGTTTCGTAGTAATCATCATTTATCCAAGAAACTGATTTTCCTTGTATTTTCCATTTCATTTTTCTGTAAAATATGGGTATTGGATGCAATTCGTAAAGTCTGTTTTCTATTTTTTTTTGCTGTGGATTATTTCTCGTCGAACATTTTTCACTATTGATCATATTTAAAGTCAGTACACTTGGAGAAATGTTTCTTTATTTGTTTGAGATGAAGTGCATATAGAATGAATTTGGATTGCAGATCGTTTCGGACTACCAGAAATTGTGATCAAATTCCAGAAGCAATGTCTATGCGTTGAAATAAAAACACCGAACTCAAAATTAAAAAAAAAAAAAAAATAAACATAAAACGATCAGTTGTATGTACTGACGCAACCATTCTGTAGAAGATGCAAAATTTAAAATAAAAAGAAACTCCCCAATTATACTACCATATTCTTGGCTCTTTGTTTTGTAAATACACATACGGAAAGGTGTTAATTTTATTTTGCAATTATAATAATAGCACACATACCGAAATTCCACGCTATAGACAACCCCACTCAAACACTTGTATCATACGTCCATTGTTTAATGATTTGTAATAGTTTACTATTTTGAAATTACTCCAATTTAATGAAGATAAACACGAATAATAATAATAAAAGCTGTCTGGAATACTAAAAGTTTGTTTGGTTAACTGCTTTCTCCCCGCAAAAACCAGCGACACCAACCTACAACCTGCCAAAAAGAATATTGTTATTCACAATGTTATATGGCTCTCAACACAAAATAGTTCTGCATAATGTCGAAGGAATGAATACTTTACAATTTTTTATTTCACCACAAAAATTGCAAAATAAAGGTAGATCTTATTGAGGCGGGATTTGGGGAGGAATCGATGGTAATGTTGGTGGAAAAATATCGCAATTCATGCATGGTATCCACTAAGTTGAGTTGTTGGCCTAAACGAAACAGAGGTAATGTATAAATACTAACAGAAAACTCCCCAAGAATCTTTAGAATTTATTCGTTTTTTTTAACTTAACCAAATACTTCAGAGATGAAAATTATCTACTTGATACTTGCTTTTATTACTTCAACGTATTGTGGAATTTTGTTCCCCGCAAAGCCATCCAATGATCTTTTTTACAATGCTCCTGCTGGTTATGAAAATGCCAAAGTAGGAGATATCTTGCAACATAGATCCACTCCCAAGCCAATCACTGGGGCATTCTTCCCGTCTAAGGTTCAGAACTCCTGGCAGCTTTTAGTCAGATCAGAAGATTCTTTTGGTAATCCAAATGTTTTGGTTACAACCGTTCTTCAACCATTTAATGCCGATTCATCTAAAGTTGTTTCCTATCAAGCATACGAAGATTCTGCCAAATTTGACTGTGCTCCTTCCTATGCAATTCAGTATGGTTCTGACATTTCAACGTTTGCAACTCAGGCAGAAATGCCATTTATCTCAGTGTTGATTGACCAAGGATACTATGTTGTGGTGCCAGATTACGAAGGTCCAAAGCTGACCTTCACAGTGGGTCGTCAATCCGGACAAGCTACATTGAATTCCATTAGAGCTGCTTTAAAATCAGGAAACTTGACTAGTATTGATGAAAATGCCAAAGTGGTAATGTGGGGGTACTCCGGAGGTTCATTAGCTTCCGGATGGGCAGCTGCTTTACAACCAAAGTATGCACCTGAGTTGAATAATAACTTAATTGGTGTAGCGCTAGGAGGATTTGTCACCAACATTACTGCAACAGCAGAAGCTACTGATGGAACTGTATTTGCTGGTATTGTTGCAAATGCTTTAGGTGGAATCAGCAATGAGTACAGTTTGTTGAAGAGTACGTTGGCAGCAGATGCTAACATTTTACTCAAGTTCAAGATTAACCAATTTGATGATTTCTGCCTTTTTGATTCAATTCTTAATTTTGTGGGGACTCAGTTCTTTGTGGGGGTTGCGAGAATATTCAAAAGTGGGTGGTCGATTTTGGATAAACCTGGTATCAGAGACATTGTTGAAGGGAACGGATTGGTGTACTTTACTGAGATACCAAAGATACCAGCTTTTATATATCATGGAACAGTTGATCAGATTGTACCAATTGTCAATGCAAAGAAAACGTATCAAAACTGGTGTGATGCGGGTATTTCTTCTCTTGAATTTGCCGAGGACGCTTCTAATGGTCATCTCACCGAAACTATTGTAGGTGCGCCCGCTGCTTTAACTTGGATCATGGCTAGGTTATCTGGTAATGCACCTGTATCTGGATGTCAACACACCAAAAGACAGAGCAACTTTGATTATCCTAATATTCCACCTGCCATACTTGAATATTTCCAATCTGGTTTGAAGACCGTTATCGGAGCAGGATTGGGCCCAGATATTCAAAAAGATCAAGTTTCTGCGATAGGTCTTACCAAGATTTCAACCTTCCTTAAATAAACTAAATAGAGTAATATACATATACGTGCACAAACAGCCCAATATTTATAATTAAAACACTATTTGCATTCCTATTTACAGTAATAATAATAACTATTCTATGATCGCATTTAAACTTATTTACTCATTTTGTTTAAGGTGATTTTCAATAGCTTGTCTCAAGAATGGAATAACCTCACTCTTGTATAACTCACGAGATTCACCCAATGATCTGATTTCCATGACATCTTTCAAAGCTTCGGGAGTATCCTTAACAAAAAATGCAAAATCTTCAATCATGTTTTCTGAATTTATCTTGACATCTGGATTCAATTTCTTATATCTGTCCAATTTCAAGTGGGCAACATATGTAACACCTTTAATAAAATTAATATCAATTCCATCTTCTTCCTCCAACAATTCCACGGATAATTCTGGACTAATACCAAAGATAGCATATTGTAATCTGACCAATTTTTCATGATATTCATCAATCTCATTAGCTTCACAGTTGATGAATCTGTCTCTAAACTCTTCCAAGTACTCATTAATCTCGTTTTGCATACTAGCTTGTGCTCTTTCAACTGCGACCTGTCTTTCCACCAAAACTTGCTTGATTTTCTTTTGAGTTCTAATTAATTTTCTATCCACAGTATTGTGTTGTCTAAAATCTCCCATACCCAATGATTCCCCTAATCTGACTTCACGGGCCAAAATATTTCTTTCTTTCAACGCCAAATACCAGATTCGGTGCAAATCTTCAAAAGATTTTTGACGCAATTCAGCAGAAGTCCATTCTCTTGAATCCAAATCCAACTCTTCGGATTCTCTGATTGGTGAGGTAGTTTTGTTTCCTTCAGGGAAAAATTGCCATAATGGATGATCTGGTGAAACTTCAAAATTGGCAACTCTTGGAACAACAGGCTCTCTTAATTTAATAGTTTTCAAGTTGGTAAATTGCAATGGCTTGGCTCTAGCTAGTTTACAAGAACTACTCAGCAAATTTCTAATAGCTATGTGAAAGCTCATGGTTTGTTGTTAACGGATGGTTACTATACAAGTTTTCAATCCCAAAGAAAATTTTTTTTTTTTTCTTTTTTTCATTCTCATTTTCTTCTCATTTTCGTTTTCATTTTTTTTTTTAGTTTCTTTGTAAGAAAGAAAGAAATCCTTCAACAACAACGAGAAGGAAAGACAGAGAGAAGAAAAAAAAAATGAGGACTTGTTAACCAGCGAATTACTATTGACGGAACATCCTATATAGATCCTACAATTAAGATGTCTACAATACAACCAGAACAACGAGAAGACCAACAACCGTTAGATTTAATTCGTTTCCAATTAGATGAATACGTATTAGTAAAGTTAAGAGGTGCTAGAGAGTTAAAAGGTAAATTGCAAGGTTATGATAGTCATTGTAATATGGTCTTGAGTGATGCCCAAGAATTTATATACTCATTGGATGAAAATAGCAAGATCAAGGACCCAATAGTGAAGAAAACAGATATGGTCTTTGTTAGAGGCGATTCAGTAATTTTAATAAGTCCCGTGCAATAGATAACGAATTGAATATATACCTACATTTACAGTATAGCAGGATACTATACCATCTCAAGATCGCCATCAGCATCTTGCTCTTGAATAATCAGCTTTATTTTCTCGACCTTACGTGCATGGACACCCCACTTCGATTTGATTTCATCATTTTCTTTGAATGAAGATGCAATACCTTTCAATGCTCTGTCGATTAATTGATCATATGCATCTAAATCTGTACTTGTTGTGATATCATGTAACGTAGAGCGAGCAATTTTGTAAAGCAAGTTTGATGATTCGGTGTCAGTGCCCTCACCATTATGTTCATCAAATTTGTCGAATATTCTATTGTTGGTATCCAAAATATCATCAACTTGTTCCGTTATTCTACCATCCAAGTCAGCAAACATTTGCTGAACATCCAGTTTGGAAAACACCGCATGGTTGTAATTTACTTGAACACTATTTTCCAAGTCCTCTTCCTTATTTCGCAACAATGCTGGGTGTATTATTCTTGCAGTGGAGCTAACAATATTAGTGTTGAAATTACTAACCAAATTTGTGATTTTATCCAACATTGGCTTTTGAACATTTTTGATATTGTCAATCTCCGATCTTAACTGTGATTCATGTTCAATTAATGTATGTAATCGGTTACCAATATCAACCAATTCAGGAGTCTTGTAGTCATCTTTGCATTTTTGCGACTCAATTGCTAATGTATTCTTTAAATCCTGAATGTATAGATTAAAGAAAACTTGTTTTTTTTCCACTTCGAATCTCAACTTGTCCAACTTAATCATTTCTTCGTTCAACTTGGCTTTTTGCTCTTTCAGATCGTCCTGCGACTTGGGCTCGACATCCTTCATTTCTTGATCTTGTTCGTCAGTTTGAGTTTCAGAATTGTCTTTCTTTTCTTCAACTAACTCCTTTTCTGAAACCTCATCTTTCTTCTGAGACACATTATTAGTTTCACGTAACAACAGCTGAATGGTGTTGTTTTGTTGTAACAATTCTTGTCGTGCTTTCAGGTACTCAAAAAATTTAATATCATGATACTTCAAATGATTCTTTATAGTTTCATCAACTAATTTTTGTTGTCGTATGTTAACATGCTTTGCTGGATCGGTAAAAGTCGATGTCCTATTTCGAGCTGTAGTAGACATTCTAAATGATAAACACAGAGTTGGTGTTTATTGTTTTATCAAGAAATCCCGTCTGATTTTTTGTTTCTCTTCCTTAAGTTTTTATTTTTTATTTTTTCTTTTTTTTTTTCTTAATTTCCTTTTCCAGGTGAGTTGGTTGGAAAACGATCTGAAAAGAACAACAACCAAAAAAAAGAAGACACAACAGCAACCATTAGATCAAGTACCAGCAAACATGAGTCTGATAGATAAAACTATAGACGCAAAGTTATATGTGTATACAATTCAATTAGTGTCTTCAAGTACTGATATAGATAAACTCCAAGCATTTCTTCGATTATTGAATGCAAAGGTTTTGTCATCCGATACAAATGAGTTCACTTTTACAACTAAAAACAATTTATTGAATGCTATACTAGTACACACATACCCGTTGAATCTTGAATTAGAGGAATTGACTAAATTGGCAAATCTATTGATTGATCCGTCAAATATTACTAAAACTGACGAAACAGATTCTTTTGATGTTGAAGAGTTTGCTTTTGGTTTACCAACTCAGATTGAAAACGAGTCATCACTTCTTGCTACTGCTCAAGATTTAATGGTTGACACCAATGTACAAAGCTCATATATTGGTGGATTAAAGTTTGGATCCACTCCAGACGATCTTCTTTTATCATTCATACAAGCAAAGACAATACAATTGTCCAAATACTTTGACAACGTGAACGATATTATGCCATTGTATGAGAGAGTATCTTCAGATGCTTTTCAATCGTGGTTTGCGGGAGTGATTTCACCATATAAGTACTACTATGACCATTATGGACAAGTTTACAATGGAGCTACCTTACAGGAATATTTAAGCGCTGGAGAAACGCTAAAAAACAAGTTTGAGATGTTGATCACACCATTATCTGCTGGAAAAGTTTCCAATATTGAACAATGGATTGCAAATGTCATCATACCTATAATTATGTACCACAACAATGATTTCCGTCCGTTGAATGAATGGCTATTTTATAGCGATATGGGAGCTACTGTCACCAAGGGCAGTAACAAAACGTCCCCAGTTACCAAATATTCCGTCTGGTCATCATGTATCAGTTCTTTAAATCGTCATTTTGAGTTGGAAGAATTTAAAGTAATCATTGAGACCTATTTGGCGGCTTGCTATTATTTTAGTTTTAAAGAGGATACCGATGTGGTTTCGTCGGTCGACATTATGAAAAGTTACGAAGTTATACACGACACGTTGTCATTATTAAGAGGTAGCTCCAAAACATTAGCACCAGGATCCCAGGATATTGACTATGGAAACATTCCCATGGATTGTGCCTCATTTAATGAGTTTAACACACCATCCAACCCACTATCAGCTTTATTTCATAGTGAATGTATTCCTGAATTGAAACATGCGATAGAAACATGTCAGAAGTTGTTTCCAATTAACAAATTGACTCTCAAGAAGTACCTCCAATTCAATTATGATCCATCTTCAATAGATCTTGAAAGAGAAATTTTAAGAATCACCAGTAATATTAATCACTCCAATTGGCAACAGTTGATGAGATCAGTGGACTTATTCAAGAGCAGCTTTGTCTCCGAAGAAAATACGAATGGTCAAGTGTCGTCTATTATTATTGAAAGGTTGTTGTTTGCAAATTTGTTTGATGTGGCGGATGAATTGTTTTTCAATGACTCGTTGTTGCCTATTTCTACGAATCAGTTCTATTCACTTGTCGAAGAAAAGTTTTGGGCAAGCTTGAATCATGCAGTTAACTTGAATGAAAAATCTGGGTTACTATATAATGCACACCAATGTTTAAACTTGTTTGACAAGTTAGTTTTGAAAAAAGACTTGGAAGAGCTGAGCCGACAACAAATTGTTAAATTCAAACATCTATTCAAGGCGATGCATGCATTGAAGAACTTTAAAATTGTTATTGTTAGTAGTGATGCTGACCGCAATAAACCACTTACTCCATATGCATTAATAAATAGTTTTGCGGACAATAATGTGATGAATCTCATAACTATCGTTTTAGAGCAGAATCCGAAGTCATATTTGGCTTTTGAGAAATTGTACCGCATTTTGAATGACTTGTTAATATTCTTTGGTGAAGATGGCGATGGTGAAAACAATTTCTATTTCAAGAAGCTTAAAACAGCTTGTATCGAAAGTGCGTTGATTGACAATAATTTTAACTATGCATACACACAGAGTATTGAGTTGTTTAAGTTCTTTGAAGACAAACCGAATGATAGAAGAATTGATGAACTTTGGCTAACCTTTTATCAAGTTGGAAAGTATATATCACCCGAATGGTTTGATGAACCTGAAAAGACTATTGATTTGGAAGTGTTGACTAAACAACGAGAAATTTTATCATTAACTATTGCAACTCTATCGTTAGGGGAGAACAGCAAGATTGTTATTAATCAATGGCAATCATTAAATGATAAAATACAAAGAGTCAGTTTAGAAAATGATATTGACAAGGTGAAACAACAGTTTGCTGCTGAAAATACGCGTGCTGTTTATTCTACCAAACATTTGGAAAATATTGGTAATATTGCGAACGATATTATCAACGATGCAAGCAAGACAACAAATAATGCCAGTGAAAAGATTTCTAATTTGTTTGTTTCCGGGTTGGGTTGGGCCATTGGAGCTAACCAACACCGATAAGGGTTTACGGGTATATGTAGTCTGTTTTTTTGTAGGTGTGTCGGATTTTAATGCAAATAATAAAAGAAAACATCAAAAACAGCAGATAAAAAAAATTACATTTGAAATCAAGAGTCAAACGCGAAATGGCAACAGCAGACAAAAGAAAAGAAAAAAAAAAAAAAAAAAAAAACCAAAAGAAACCAATTGAAGAGATTCATCGAACCGTACAGAGCCAATCAACTACAATAGCAACGTTTGGGAGCGTTGGAACCGATAAGAGGATACTCAAAATTTACACGCAAATTGATTAAAAGACATTGGGAATAAACCTTATTATATGAATTATTTTGGAAAGTATTTGAAGAACACGAATACTGCCCTATATGCTTAAATCACGAATCTCGATAATACCAATAACAAGAATTGTCCCCAAGAAAAAGAGCACCCGCTTGTTGAAGAAACATATTTCAACTTCACATATTGGATTTTATAAACTAGGATTTAACTTCAGGATCAATCTGACGCGTGTTTCTGCAGGTCCAAAGATTATGACAGATAACGGGTTAGATCTGACTTTTTTACGAATTTTGGATAATGAAGATCCATTTACTGATAGTGAGACGAGAGATTCGAAGATTGTATTGAGTGAAGATTCACATCTTCACGGGTCTCAGAAAAGAATATTTCTGCCACACCAAGGTGTGGTATGTTCCACGCCTCGCTTAGAGAAACCCAAAGATGTTTCTCCTATTAAAGAAGACCTACTATCGTCTACGTTTGAATCGAGTGATATAGATGATGATTTTATCGCAGCGATGGAGGCAGCAGAAAGTACTTGTCCACAACGAACTGCATCAACCCCAAAGATGAGAATGAATACTCGAAGATATAGCAGGAGGGACAGCACACGAAGTAGTCTGTCGGGAACACCGACTCAAGTTACAAAGAAACTCAAGACATGTACATATATCCAAACTGCATCACAAGGCGCTACTCCTATGATGCAAGAATCAGATACAGGGGTAGACATAATGAAACCTAATGTGGGATGCTCTTCACCATTAACAAAATCCCCGCTGCCACCCCCACCACCATCAATCTCACAAGTGAGGAATCCATTTCGTGTTCCAACTCAATTCCAAAGATTTTATTCCACTACTAGTGTCACTGATCAAAAGAGAGGCAATATGGGTCAAGATTCAGCTTCACATACAATTGTATTGGCAACACAGCATTTGTCTAAGCAGTTAAAACCGCCGGATACACAAGAAAAGCAACAGAAACAATTACAGGTTGACGCAAAGAACGTGAAACCAATCATACTTTCCCATGAACAAGAATATGTTTTGAAACAAGTATTGCAGGGTGTTTCGTTGTTTTTCACCGGTCCTGCAGGTACTGGTAAATCTGTTTTATTAAGAAGTATTATCAAGTCGCTACGTTCGAAACGATCTCGTGGGATTGCTGTGACTGCGTCCACTGGTTTAGCTGCATGTAATATCGGTGGTATCACGTTACACAGTTTTGCCGGCATTGGGTTAGGTCAGGGTTCAGTGGATTCTTTATACAAGAAAGTAAGAAGAAACAAGACAGCTTTCAAGAGATGGCAAGAGACAAAGGTACTAGTTATTGATGAAATTTCCATGGTTGATGGCAATCTCTTGGACAAGATGAATGAACTAGCTAAGAAGATACGCAAGAGTAATGCGCCGTTTGGAGGAATTCAGTTAGTCGCGTGTGGAGATTTCTATCAATTGCCACCAGTGGTGAAGAGTCACGAATCAGAAAGTGAGGAAATCCATTTTGCATTTGAGTGTGGAGCCTGGTCAGAAGCCATCACACAAACAATTACATTGAAGGAAGTGTTTCGACAAAAGGGTGATTCTACATTTATTAACATGTTGAATGAAATGAGGGATGGAATGATCAACAAGGAGTCCATTGTAAGATTCCAGCAATTAGAAAGACCATTGAAGTGTCCTGAAGGATTTGTACCTTCAGAACTCTATGCCACTCGTTATGAAGTAGACAATGCCAATAGAAAGAAACTTGCCAAGATTGATGCCGAAGAGGTCATTTACAAGGCGAAGGATAGTGGGACCCTACCGCCAAAGATTTTGGAGCAAATGGTTTCGAATTTTTTAGCTCCGCAGGTCTTGCAATTAAAAGTAGGCGCACAGGTGATGCTAATCAAGAATATAAATGCTCAACTTGTTAACGGAAGTCTTGGTAAGGTTGTTGGATTTGTCGACAGAGCTACGTTATCTGAAGGTGATTCTGTCTTTCTGGAGTTTATGACTACCAAGCAATTGAGTAGTAGTAATGGTGCTGATGAGAGGAAGAGGAAACACATGAGCAAGATGAAGGACGATTCTTTATTTCTGAAGTTGCCCGTAGTGAAATTCATTACCATGCAAGGTACCACACAAACAGTTATAGTGGATGTTGAGAGTTGGAGTACCGAGGATGTTGAAACCGAGAGTATTCTTGCCAAAAGAATTCAATTACCATTGAATTTAAGTTGGTCATTGAGTATCCACAAATCTCAAGGTCAATCATTGTCATATGTTATTGTTGATTTCAAAAAAATCTTTGCTGCTGGTCAAGCTTATGTAGCTCTTTCCAGGGCGGTGTCAAGAGATGGTCTTCAGATTCTAAATTTTAACCCAAACAAAATTCATGCTCATCCTAAAGTGATCAAGTTCTATAAAAGCTTATCCACTGTATAGCTTCATCAATATCAAGTTTGACCTTTTATTGTCTGTTTATATATAATATAGAGTTTTAGTAGAGGGCGGAGAATTAGTCCCAATCAAATAACAACCGGTAATATGCACTGCCTTACGCCCAAATTTGTATCTGCTCATAAAAATCAACTCTCTTCTTTTGGGGATTGTCAATGTGCTGACATACATTGTAGCGGATCTCATCAACCATCGAAGGATTACAACATGCAACAAATGATATGGACCCATGTGAACCTTCCACTTCTTGACGAATCAAATTTTTTAAAATAGGTCGGCCATGTTTAAAACTAATGTGACAAAGTTTCAGTTTGATTTCTTGTACCAATCTTTCCGTATCAATCTCAACAAATTGTGGATTTTCAACCCATGGCTTAGTCACATATATTGTTGTATCAATTTTGGTTTTCTTTAATTGGAGCAATTCGTCATAAAACCAAATGAGATTTTTCCATTCTCTAACCACCCATACTAGTTTTAATTTCTGATTTTGTTGCGAATCAATACTAGTAATTTCCGAATACAATCCAGGGATCCCATTGCCTGCAGCGATGAAAACAGCAGTATCGGAATTTTTAGCATTAGTTTCCCCTCCATACGGACCCTCTACTGCAATCCTTATTTTAGCACTTTTGTCTGGTATCTCATCCAAGAATTGATGTAATCCTGATGTAATGCCACGTTTTATTTTACAATAAAAAACAATACTATTACCATCCGGTGTCTCAATAAATGTAAATGGATGCGATTGCCAAAAGATTGTTGGTCGCAAAAACTGAACAAAGGCATGTCCACCAGGTGCTGCTGTCCAGTGATTTGGTTTAGAAACAGAGACACGAATTGTATCGTCAGAAAGCAATGCAACATCGGCAACAGGAAGACCAAACGAAACCAATCTACCAAGTCTAATAGTCCTGTCAGCCGCCCATATTGCAATACTAGGAATCACAAAAAATACATATCCTCTGGCTCTGACATGAAATAATGTACCAATTGTCCAAATCATTGCCAAAATAATGTGGCCAATCAAGAAAATTTCGTACCATCTTCTCCGCAAATACAACAATGATTGTACCATGATGATCCCACCTGCTACCATTGCACCAACACCCCATCTAATATAGGGTTCTCGCATTACACTACTGTAGAATTTTCCAAAAAGTATGGAAAACCCAACCCCATGAGTCAAAATTAACCCAAAAATTACCCTTGCTAAATGTCTATGATATGCGACAAATGTACTGTACTTCAATCCTACCAACCACTGAAGAAAATTATTCCTACCGGCAAATAATATCATCAAGGGCATCAATATAATAGAGACTATAGCCGCCCGATCGGACACAATACGCAAGCGAGATAACCACTGACTATTGTACTTTCTTTCATTTGCAACTGAACCTGACTTGTAAATATGCACAACACTTACCACCGCATAAAAACACAAGATAACCGCAGACTCTGCTCTTGATGGAACCAAATAGGAAGCGACATTAAAAACACTTTGTTGTTCGTTCCTCTTTCTTCGGAACATTGCTGGAGAAGTAATGTATCGTCTCCAAGTATTAGTCACAAGGTCTGTCCAGTGCTTGACTACGTTGGGGAATAGTTTCTTTATCCAATGAATAATTCCTGCAATCAACAAAACCACTAGCCAGTAGCATACACAAATACCCCCATAGTAAACAGAATTATCAAAGTTAGAATAGTAAAGATTATAGGTATTTTGATAGTTTTGTAATTCTGAACCATTCAATATCAAGGGAACATGTATCACTGAAGTTCGGCGAAAATTCTTAATCTCAGATGCAGATTTTGCCTTTTTCTTGTATGTTCTTAGAGAATTATTGAACCAAATGTCCGATAAATTGAATCCTTTATCATTGCAATATAAAATAAAACCATTTATGGCATCTTCAGATGGACCAACCTCATTGAGACATCCAGCAACCGTGGCCAAATAATTCTTATTGGAACAATAGCACCTATAGCTGTTGGGCTTAGGGCAAAATAAAGCTTCTGATGAAATTTGAGCTTTACATCCATAGAACTTCTTTGCGTCTTTGTAGAATCTAAATGGTGCACCAAAAGACGCAAACACTAGCTCAGATAGGAGTAGGAGCAAAAACATAAATTGAACCATACTATATGCAACAATTGTTATGCCACTGTCACCAAGAAGAAGAACCGAGAATGTTTGTCCAACCCTGGAATGGAACATAACCCCATCATTATATACCTAGAACCACTCAGGGTTTCATCATAACAAATTAATATCAACTAGAGAGGAAAGATACACAAAAAAAAGGGTACGGGGGAAACATTTGATAGTTAGTGCCTTTCTATTTCCGTCTTCAAAGACTGCGGAAGAGCAAGAGAAAGGTCAAACAGACAAGGGAGGGGAAGCAAGTCTCTTACAAGGAGCGTTGATTATTTTCCGCTTGCTCGATAAAACAGGGCAACTCTACTCCTAATATATATACAGAAATTATAACGGTTTATTATATACACAGTGATACACTAAGCCCAGACTTGTAGTTGCTCATAGAAATCAACTCTCTTGTTTTCTGGATTTCCTATGTTTTGACAAGCAAAATAACGAATTTCATCAACCATAGCCGGATGGCCACAAGCGACAAATGCCACAGAGCCAATGGATTCATGAATTTCGTTGGAAACAATATCACCAATCATGGGTCTACCTTCCTTAAACAGTATATTAGGAAGAATCGACTTTATGGATTCTGTCTCGTCATCTGTGGAAGTTTCGACTTTTTTATCACTTTCGAAGTTAGTAACTTTTTTTCTAGTAATATAAATAGTAGTTTGAATGTTTAATTCATTCAAGTGTTCCAACTTGTTTAAAAACCACGTCATAGATGTATAGTCTTTAACAACCCAAATTAACTTTATCACTTTCTTTGATTCCAGCAGCAATCCTTTTGCAATATCTGTGACTTCAGAGTATATACCAGGGATACCATTACCACCAGCTATAAACACAGCAGTGTCTGCATATTTTGCAGGGGTCGACTCGCCATATGGTCCTTCTAGAGTAACTCTTGACTTTGAACTTCTTCCCGGCATATTAATCAACATGCGGTGAAGACTATGGGTCACACCACCTTTAACTTTGCAATATAAGACAATATTTTGACCATTAGGTGATTCAACAAAAGTAAATGGGTGCGATTGCCAGAAACAACTTGGTTTGATAAAGTGAATAAACCCATGGCCACCTGGAATAGCTTTCCAGTAGTTTGGTTTCGGGATAATTATCTTTAATGTATTATTTTGCAATAATTCAATATCTGCCTGTGGGAACCCAAATGAAATTAATCTACCGATTCTAACAACTCTATCAAAACACCATACTGCTATTGCTGGATAGACAAAGCAAAGATATCCATAATCTGCCACATGCAACCAAGTACCTGCAATATAAATTGCTGCAAGCACTATATGAACAAACAAAAACATTTCATACCAGCGTCTTCTGATGTAGAGCATTCCCAGAAACAAGATCATTCCTCCCGCGACTGTTGCAATGGTCCCCCATATCATATATGTTGCCTTCATGTTCCCAGAGTAATCTTCTCTCACTTTGACAAAAATTACACTATAACAAGCAGCATGAATAACAACAAGTGCAAACATAACTCTAGCAACATGGCGGTGGTAAGTCATGAATACATTATAGTTCATCCCAGTTAGCCATTGAAAGAAGTTGTTTCGACCACCAAAAAGAAAAATGAGTGGCATCATAACGGTTGGAATTATCCCTGTTCTATCAGCAACATATCTCAATTTTGCTTCATAACGATCACCAAGGAATGGATCATTTTCTACGTATCCAGTTCTAATGGCATTGACAAGAATAGTAAGACCATAAAACAAGGCAATGACAATAGTTTCAAGTCTAGAAGGAACCAAGAAATCAAAGAACATTAACAATCTTTGTTCTTGGCACTTCTTTCTTCTGAATGTAGCAGGCATCGAAATGTATCTCCTCCAAATATTGACTGGTGTACAAGTAAGTTTGCTGGCAAAACCAGGGAATAGATACTTTGTCCAATGAACAACCCCATAAAGTATCATGATTAGTAGCCAATAAGCAAGTAGTGATCCACCATAATAAACGGAATCATCATAGTTATTCAAGTATTGTTTATACGCTTTGGCAAAAAGATCTAATTGACTATCTTCAAATTTAAATGGAACAGTTAGAGGAACTGATTTGGTAAAATTGGAAATCTCCAGGGCAGTTTTCGAATTTTCAACAAAGTTCTGGTAAGCATTGTCAAACCAATGCTCTTCAACATCAACACCACCATATCTCTTGCAGAAGGAAACAAGTTTTTCCAACTGTTTTGTGGAGTTCCTATGGTTATGTGTTAGACAACCAGCGTAGGTAGCCAACGAGTTTTTATTGGTACACAAACAATAGTAATTCGATGACTTTCCGCAAAATGTCACGGATGTTTTAATTTGCCTGTTACAAGTGTAGAATCCCATGTAATCTCCATATTTTTCAAAAGCCATTGACATGGCAGATATACAGGCCACCAAGTAAAACGTCACGAAGAGAACATAATTGGATTTCATGATCTGATTGAGGAATATTTATATATGTATAGTTGTTCGTTTTGCTGTAGAGCGTCCCCAATGTAGTATTCATTAGATGAGAGGGAAGGTCTGTCTATTTATATTTCATTTTAGCTAGTTATAATTCAAGACAAAGAGGTGTTTTCCGAATACCGAATTAGGTACCTTCAAATATTGCTCAATTAATTTTGAGGCACGCATATATTGAATGAAGCGCATAAACCAAGTCATCGTTTTGTGTAGATATATCTTTATTGACCAATCCAAAGAGCGTAATGAGCAATACTTCAACAAAACGCGTTTTTCGAAAGTGACAATATGTCCTGTTCAGAGGTTGTTTACGACTGCTACTCTAAGAGTATCTAGGAATTACAACTCACATCACAAATAGATGATCAAATTTGACTATAAAATTCTATGGGCGATTGTATTGTCTCTTTGCTTTGTAAATCCATGCCATTCTGTTCATGACAATATTTCAGCGACAATCTCATCAACCGGTAAAATCAGCTATTGTAGGGTCTCATTCAATGATGCACGTATACTCGTCATGAATACAGGCTTGTTTTTCTTTGTCGTACTGTAAAAAGAAAAAAAAAAAAATAAAGCAAGGCATTTACGTTTCTCTCGCAAACTTCGCAACTTTGTGATTGTAAACGATTTCTTGCCAAATTCTTGGCAAAAAGAAATAAAAAAAATAAATCAGGAACACAAAATTATTCCGAAGAAGAGCAAATACACAAAGGGCTGATGGAAAAACAACAGAAAAAAAAAAATAGAGCACAATGTACACTTCTCGAGTTCATTTAGCATCACATAGATTATACTTGGTATCGTCAAGATGATGAGCTAAATCTATCAAAGACCCTGATATTATAATTTATATACAATTACTGAACCAGAAATTACTGTATTGTTCATGTCTTCGTCTCAAACCGTTGCAAATATTTTATTACATCACCTGTATTGTGCTCATGTTTTGACATATTATTTAAGGTGATAGCTTTGACACACTTGGTGGATAATTCAGGAGTCGTAAACTGATTCAACAATCATGTTTACAATAGGTTTGATGAGAGATTGATAGTATTGTCAATGAACTGTTGTATTAACGGTCTACTTGTTGCTGTCGTTCTTTCTTTCTGAGGTGGCTATTTCTGACTCATTTATATTCAATTTTGTACTTCCGTTCACCCCACTCTTGTGTTTTTTCACAATTTTTTTTTTTATGTATTATTTTTGGCCTGTTCCGGAATAATCCAATAAACCTCAGGACAATTCCAACACCTTCCTGTAATAAATTCATATTTGAAATTTTTTATTTTCCCTTTTTCTTTTGTTCATTCTTCTTTCCTTTAATAGTTTCCTTGATTAGAGTATCCCCCCATTTGTTGTGAATCTACAAAATGCAACTTTTCCAATCATGCTTTCAGAACTGAAAGGTTTCGACGATATCTCCTCTGGATACTAAGAAAAGAAATAACCGAAAGAAGTTTCTGAGTTCGAGGAATCCTTCAGCAATGAAAGTGTTTCCATTCCACGAGAGATTTACAACTGGAGAATGGTAGTTGTTGCTGCCACTGCATCATTTGCGGCTGTGATCATTGGATATGATTCAGGGTTCATTGGTGGTACAGTCTCGTTGGCTTCTTTTCAAAATGAATTTGACATGGCCCTGATGTCATCATCTAAAAAGACAAGCATAGAATCAAATGTTGTATCGGTATTCCAAGCAGGTGCTTTCTTTGGAGCATTATTCTTTTATCCTATTGGTGAAATTTGGGGTAGGAAGTTGGGGTTAATTTTATCTGCATTCTTATTGGTCTTTGGTGCCGGAATTTCTCTTGAATCGAAACATTCAACAGGTTTGGGAGCCATATACGCTGGTAGAGTCATTACAGGATTAGGAGTTGGTGGCTGTTCTGGGTTGGCACCTATCTATATCAGTGAATGTTCTCCTGCAAAAATCAGAGGGAAATTGGTTGGAGCATGGGAAATGTCCTGGCAAGTTGGAGGTATTGTAGGGTATTGGATCAACTATGGAGTTCTCCAAAATATGGAATCATCAAGAAAACAATGGTTAATTCCGTTTGCAATCCAGCTAATACCTTCTGGATTATTTTTTATCGGATGCTTTTTAATACCAGAATCGCCGAGGTTCTTGGTCCAAAAAGGAAAGATCGAGGAAGCAAGAACAAGTCTCTCCACTTTAAGGGCATTACCGTTAGATCATCCTTATTCGATATTTGAAATGGATACCATCGTCAAAGATATAGAAGATAGAAAACTGAAGTTGCCAGGAGATGGGTTCTTTGCTCCTATAAGAAAAATAATTCTGTCAAAAAAGTTACTCATAAGATTAGTGTTATCTACGTCTTTGTTCCTTATGCAAAACGGCTTTGGTATTAATGCAATTACATACTATTCCCCCAAGATTTTTGCATCCTTTGGTATTGCTGGTTCAAAATCGGGATTATTGTCAACTGGGGTTTTTGGGATATTGAAAGCAGTTGCTGCATTAATTTGGATATCTGTAATAGTTGATCGATTAGGTCGAAGAACGGCATTGATCTACTTCTCCATCCCCTGCTCCATTTGTATGTGGTACATTGGTGCTTACATCAAAATAGCTGATCCCGCTGCCCGAATTGCTTCTGGTACAACAAAAAATGATGCTGGTGGAAGAGCAGCGCAGGCGTTGTTGTATATTTGGACATTATTTTATGGTCTGAGTTGGAATGGTACTCCTTGGGTTATTAATTCTGAGATATTTAGTCAGGAAATTAGAACAGTGACACAGGCTATTAATGCCATGTCGAATTGGTTTTGGGCATTCATAATGGGTCGTTTTTCTGGCCAAGCTATGGATGCTCTTGGTTTCAAATTGTATTTTATTTTCGCAACATGTATGATTGTTTTTCCAGTTATTATTTTCCTTTTCTATCCTGAAACAAAAGAAGTTCCTTTGGAAGCAGTTGATTATTTATTTGAAGTTCCAGCATGGAGAGCAAGAAAATATGCCCTTGCAAAATACCAACTGAATCGCAAGGCTTAGTAATGCATATTTCTGGTATCCTGTATATATATAATGATGTAATATATGATCTATGGTTTATGATATCTTGCTGTGCAATTTTTTGCTATCATTTTAGTCTGTTTTGCTGGACAGCGGTATTTTTTCTATAAAATTCGAGATTGAACTGTTTTTCTCTTTTATTGTATCTTGTGCATTTTGCAACAGTTACTTTAACCAATGCCACCAAAGAAGGGTCCTAGTCAAGAAGAGAAGCTTTCTACTCTTTTAGCATGGTTTCAAAATACTCATTCATTCTACACGATAAAAGAGATCGAACAAAAGGCAAGTAAAGCATGCAAGATTCCACCAATGCAAATCAAAGAGTTGGTTACAATTCTTGTTAATGAAGGATTGGTTGAACAAGAAAAGTGTGGGACGACGAATTTGTTCTGGTCATTTCAGTATATAGAGCATAAGAAGAAATTGCAACAGCATGATCTGCTTAGACAATCCATTGTCAAACTTAAAGCAGAAAAGGATAAGTTATTAGAAGAGTTACAAAACTCCGTTTCAGAACGTGATAATTTTCACAGTGATCGCAAATCACAGATTCGTTATTGCAACAACCTTGCTGAAGAGTTGAACCAACTAGAATGCGAAATGAAGCTGAACAAGCAAGACGAGGAAATGGAAAGGTTGATACAAGCTATCAATTTCTTTAATGAGCTGATAGAATCTATTCTCAGCTATCTTAGTCAACAATCAGGTACTAGTGTGTTAATATTGAAGAATGAGTTTGGTATACCTTTGGATTTGGATGATACCCCTCCGATGAACAGTAACGGAGTTAATATTTAATCGGCTAATTTTTTTTTTTTTTCACAAGATTATTTTAGACGCTCAACAACAACGAAAGTCCCCACATTTTGCATTTTTATTTGCCTGTGTTTCGGATGTCAAATTGTTTTCCACATGCTTTACTTTAAAGTGTTTGAACAACGGGGGGAGGCAAAACTATTCATGGGCATGTAAAGATATATAGCTAATTTTATGACCTGATTTTTTTTTTTTTCATTTTTTATTCCATATATACTTTTTGTATAATACATTTAGAATAAATTGATAGGATTTGTTGATTGCCTCAAGTTGATATATAAACTATCGAGTACTGGACTGAATTTCCTTTTTTTTGACTGATTTTTTTTTTCTTTGTTTTTTGTTTATCTTTTTTTTTTTAGCTAGACTCGAAAATTAAAAATGGCTAGTTTTTTACCAGACAAAGTTGATTACAAGAATGTTGATACCTTGTTATTATTATGTGATGGAATTATTCATGAAACTACGGTGGATGAGATCAGGAATGTAATTGATCCAAACTTCCCAGAGGATAAATACGAGGAATATGTGAAAACTTTCACTAAGCCATCACAAACCCCCGGATTTAGAGAAACTATCTATGATATAATCAATGCAAATACTACTGACGCAATTCATCTGTTTATTATTTTGACAACTGCTTTAGATTCAAGAATTTTGGCTCCAACTTTGACCAATTCTTTAACCCCAATCAGGGAAATGAGTTTACCAGAACGTGAAAGATTATTGGCTTCGTGGCGTGACTCTCCTATTGCAGCAAAGAGAAGATTATTTAGATTGGTTTCTTCGCTCACGTTAAGCACATTCGTTAGATTGGCTAGTGACTTGCATTTGAAAGCCATCCATTACCCTGAAAGAGATTTACGTGAAAAGGCATATGAATCCCAGGAAATTGATCCTTTCAAGTACCTGTTTGAAGAGAAGCCTAAATTTGATGGTGCTGAATTGTATTTGCCTGATATTGATGTTATCATCATTGGATCTGGTGCTGGTGCTGGTGTAGTAGCCCATACATTAGCAAATGATGGTTACAAGACTTTAGTTTTGGAAAAGGGAAGATATTTTAGTAACTTAGAATTGAATTTTAACGACAAAGATGGGGTCCAAGAATTGTACCAAGGAGGTGGTGCTTTGACCACTACTAACCAGCAAATGTTTATTCTTGCAGGCTCCACTTTTGGTGGTGGTACCACTGTCAATTGGTCAGCTTGTCTTAAAACTCCATTTAAAGTACGTAAAGAATGGTATGACGACTATGGTGTTGAATTTG